TTAGTGTTCAAATCAGTAAATTGCAAACAAGTGTCGATTTATTGTTTTACCTTCAGTGATATTCAATGAATGCAATATATCAGTGTTGATACCATGCCCTTAATAATATAGATTTTTCATAAGAAAACCAACTCCCATTGCAGAGTATTAATTATTATTCATTGTCTCTTTCATTTCTAAATTTATTGATACAAGCTTTTTCTTTATATAGAAGTATTAACATTTTCAATGCCATAAATGTTAATTCAGTGCAAATATATAGAAATCAATTTATAAATTCAATATGTTATGATTAATATTTTTAAGAATAATATTAAAACTTGAATTACTTTATTTTGTAGGTGTGAATTTATACGAAATTACTTTTCATATTTAAATCACGTATTAACCAACACGACCAAATGTATGCCTTGCATTCCATTTCTATTACCATCGTAGATAGACAAATTAAAAATAATATTAATTTGATTGCTTCGAAATTTTGGTAATAAGAGTAATGATTAAAAATTCGGCAATTTCTTTTTATATACCTTATGAAATAATTTCTCTTTTAATAATTTGGAAAATTGAATATCCGAAGAATATAATATTAAGTGGTTTATAATCGTAAGGCCCATATTATTCGTTTTATTTTCGAAGATGGAGATATTTTGCGTTTGAAGTGTGGTGTATGATGACTCAATAAATGAAATTAAATTACATCGAATCTAAAAATGGTTTGCATGTATTGCAGACGAAAGAACAAGCGATTGGTGGCTCATTAAATATGAAAGCGTCATGTACGGGGGATTTATCGTGTATCTATATTTTGTGTTACGATGGGGACCTAAATTTATGGAAAACAGAAAGCCTTATAATTTAAAGACTTTTATAAAATGGTATAATATATTGGAGATAATCTATAATTTCTGGATTGTCTATGCTTCGATACAGTATGGTTTATTTACCAAAATAGGATTTGGTTGTTCAAAAATCGATAGATCACCAGTTGGAATTCCTATGAAAGTAAGTACATAGATTATCTTCTTAACATCTGAATATAATTTGCAAATAATGATGCTAGCGATTTTAAATTTACAAGAACACGAAGGTACTTATTGTATCTATAAAAACATGTATGTAATTTTAATATCTTTTATTAAATAACGTAATTTATTTACATTGTTAATTACATTTGGATTCGTACCTTTTAAGCATTTTTAAAAAAATTTTTCAGATTAATAATGTACTTAAAACACTAATATAAGTGAAATCATAATTAATTAATAGTATACTAATTCAAATTATCAACCAATTTGTGAGAATGCTTAAAAGCACTTTAAAAATATTGATACATTATTTCTTGTTCTATTACATATCTGAAATATTTATCTATTTTAAATTTGAAATGAAATCTTCACGTATCAAGTAAATTAAACTTAAATGTCTTAATTTATATACAATTTGAAAACATAATAAAAGCTATTCTAATTTAAAACAGTAACTGCAATATTTTATTCAATTTTAAACATATCTACAATTACAATACTTTAAGCTATAATTTTAAAACGAGAAGAAAACATTGGACATAATTATAATTAAGATAAATCGACCAGATAGTTTTAATGAAATTTTTATTGTCTAATATCATTTTAAATGATTCTGAATGTTATGAGATTCATTAATAATTTTTTTTAAAAAGGTTATGAAAATTTGAAAAGTACAAACTATTAAGAAATATTATCTTATTATAATGTAACAATAAATTTTCTTGAAACTTTGGAAAAGTTTGATTATTATAACTAATATATATATAAAAAAATTAGAAATTCTTAAATACAAATTTATTTATAACATATTGACAAATCTTGTAAAAAAATTTAAAAATTATATTATATAAAAATTTATATTCTTTTATTGTTAATATACTCCGTCATTTTTATTACTTATATATATATATTCAAATTATTATAATCAAATATGCTAATTATTTATATTATAAAATTAAAATAATTTAATAAAACATAAGCTATGCGCTGCTCATTACAATATTATACAATAATTTATTAAGTGGATATTCAAAACCATAATTGTCATATGCTAAATTGAAAATTCCATTTTTCAATTTAATGATTTGTAAATCGGTTTGTTAATATCAATACATTTTTTATCTTAATTACTTCAATATCATTTGTTTTTATTAAATATGCTTCTATTTTTTTTTAAAATATAATAAAGCTAAAAAAAAAACAAAAAAATAAACAAATATATATTTATTACTCATTTAATGTTGCAATAAATTTATTACATAATCTTATAAATCTTACTAAAAATTTGTAATGATATGTATACATAGGTATTTTATTGCGTTATATAAAAGAATTTCCAAAATATTTTCCTCCTTAATCTTAATTACAGACTGCCAAACTTTTTTACTGGCTATTGGTACTGAAAATAATTGACCTTAGTGAAACAGTCGTATTCGTATTAAGGAAAAAACAAAGACAAATTTCATTTCTTCACCTCTATCATCATATATCGACAATATACTTGGCTCATTCATCTACGAAATTTTATCCTGGTGGCATGGCTCTATTTCCAGTATGTTTGAATTCAGCTATACACGTTATCATGTACATATATTATCTACTTAGCAGTCAAGGACCTAAGATACAGAAATTTATAATGCCTTTTAAACCATACATCACTATAATGCAGATGGTGAGTAATACATAAAATTGTTTATGATTTTATTTTAAGAAATAAAGTCAAAAGTATATTTGAAAAATCTTTTATTATAAACTAATAAGATTTCGTACTAAGATACTCCAATTATAATGTTATAATGTTTTTCGTATTTCTTTACAATTATATTATTTATATTAAAACTAATTATCCGAAAAATAATAAATAATTCAACTATTTATCCAATTAAATATTAATAAATATAAGACATATGAATAACCTCTAACCGAAGAAATAATCTTATTAGTAAATAACTTGCATATTTTTTTATCGTTATAATGTAAAATATATTTTTATAAATAATTTGATAAGTTCAAAGAATCGTTTACTAATCGATAAGTACATAATATATATTATTTGATTAATAAAAGGATCGTATTTCTTTATTATACTGTATATTTTTTTTTGTAAATAATATTACTTTATTATTTTTAGGTTCAATTTTTTATTTTATTGGCTCATGCAATACAGGGATTATTACCGACTTGTAAAGTTCCAATTTGGGGAGCTGCGACTATGTTCACTAATCTTGTAATAAATTTTATTCTTTTCTATAACTTTTATAGAATAAACTATAAAAACACGGAAAAAAGCAAAACAAGCTAAAAATGATAAAGCATTATAAACTAATTAAATATCTTTCTTATTTAGATAATTATTACATTTATTATCAGAAAAATATTATCTAAAGTAAGAACTTTAAATTAAATTTACATTTATTATTATAAATTAATAGATTATAAATGTTGAATTCATTATACATTTCTTTTATGTTTGTGTAAAATATTTATAATTACTATAAATTTCATATAAAAAAAAAACACTGACTATTTTCAGCATAAAAACATTTACATTTATAAATTTATATAATAAATTTTTTAAATAAAGCTTATTTATTAAATTTATACAAAATTATATTATTGTACTGCTTAAAAATATAATAATTTTATTAAAGTTAAGTAAATTTTTTTAATAATTTGAAGTGTATAAGATATTGTCATTTCAATAATTGATATTTCATTAAAGAAAAGAAAGACATAAGAAAAAAAAGAGCAGTACCAATGAAAATATATATTACTCCAGCTTATATATAAAACTATGGAAAAGTAATATGACAAAACATTAAATTAAAGCTGAAAATTATATAATTACCTTTTATAATTATTATCAATAAAATTGATTTGAAAATAATTTTATTAAATTTTATGTAAAATTTTATTATTCTACATAGGACAATAGCTCTATTCAAATTACAAATGAATAAATTATTTTATACCAATAGTTGCTTTTATTTCATTAGCTTTTCTCAGCAAATAAAGAATACATTCTGTAATATAATTCAATCATAATCTGATTGATAAATTAACATGTAATATTGTATATTTTATACAATTCTACATTATGAAAAGTATGGAATAAATTATGTAAATACTCAATAGATAGTATCAACCGTAAGTTAGTGAATACAATAAAGCGAATCGAATATTATAAAATATGATGAAATTATTTGAATGAAAAATAGACATTAACAATAAGAACTATATAAATTTGGGATATTAATTATAATTCTTTAACATAAAGTTGATTTATTTATTGTTGTAGAAGCAATTTTAAGCATCTGCATATTAATTCAAATTATAGATTGTACAATTGTAGAGAAAAACTCAAGTTAATAAAAATTTAATAATCAATTGAATTGAAAGTATTAAAATACAATTGACTAATTTATTATATATTATGCTGTGATTTATTCTTATCTATGGAAAAGGGTCTCAAAATCTCCAATTTATTATTTTCATTTTTCTTATAAAACCAACAATGATTTATCTTCCCCAATACATTTTTTATTTTATTGTTTTAAATCTTTGTTCTCTTTTTCTGCTTCCTTTTATTTCTTAATAATGTTAGACATGAATTCGATATAATCTATTCAATCAATGTGCTATAAATATTTCAAATAATTCCGCACTTTTAATGATAGATGGTAATAAAAAGTGATATCGATAGGAAGTGCTTTTCCGAAAGAGGATAGAATCTTTTAAATCGAATCACATTTCAAGAAAAAAGCGACTAATGTGCAAAAATAAGCAAAGTCCATATAATTTGAAAATTAAATCTTATAATATTGCTGTAAATCATTCAGTCAGCAAAATACGAGAACTAAAGTGATCTATTCCTTAACCTACTAACCTCAAAAAAGCCTCTGCTTAGCCTGTGTCACTGTTGATGTATACGCGATTAACATTAAGAAGAGTAAGAAAATGTAGAAAACTCACCGTGTAATAGGAGAGTAAGCCGGCATTGTCATCCAGCACGAACCAGCGATATTGCCAGCCATTGACAACGTTCGTCCACTTGCTTAACGAGCCCTCCATCGTCGATGTCGACATGTTGTTTTGCTTGCCCTGTGGGTGCGCCGCGCCACGCGAACCAGATGCGGCGCCAGCGTTGTTCAGATTCAGAGCCTTGCGTACTCGTCGTGCGAGTCTCTTCATCGCATCGCAATTTCGCATCCATTGGCGGCTATGCTAATATGTACAGGCAGTACGGTCTTTCGCTCCAACTTTCCTTTTATTTTACGACGTTGTTAGATTCAAAGCTCACCAGCCACGCGACTTACTTCATGTATATATATATATATATATATAGATAGAAATAAATTTGCGGTCGATTCACGATGTCAATATGTTATAAAAATCAATGACGTTTTTCGCGGTTTTATTTTGATTAAGGACTCTTCGCAGGACACGAGGAAATCACCTACACGCAAGCACAAATATTTCTGGCAGGTGTGCAAGTCTATAAATGTCTCTCTTTCTCTCTCTCTCTCTCTCTCTATCTATCTTTGGCACGCGCGCGCGTGTATGTCTAGTGTTCTGTATAGTAATAGCTCTTTTGAATTTTTACGTTGATTTTCTTAATTGAATTTTCTGATCTTAGAAACTTCGTTATTTTGTGTTACATAATGTTTTTATATTTTTCAAATTACGAATTGGATTGAATATAAGATTTTTGTTCATTCGCATGTATTAATAACCTTGTGTACATTACATTTGTCATTCTGTGAATTCAGTATAAACTATAAAAAGAAGTACGAATATCATCGGAATTAAAAAACGGTTATTAAACAATCGCTTATAAATGTTTTATTTACTCGTCATATTATATCTTCATCACATATTTCTACAGTCTTGGTTATCGTTTGAATTTCTACGGGACTTAAAAGATCCTGCGAAACAGATGTACGCACTGCACATATTAAATATAACCTTGTATTATATTATTGCTTCTTTATTCAATAATACAGTGAATAGAAAACTTGTTTTCGATTCAAGAAGTTTCACGATGATTATGGACAATCAATAAATTATATTTTAACTTCTATTTTTCACAAAATAACAGCGGAAACTTTTTTTTAAATTTTTGTTATTGCGCTGCTGCGGCAAAGCCGCAAGGGCGTAACGACACTTGCGACATGGAAACCAACATTAAAAGTCATTTAAGGGGATTTCACATTGTTAATATATTTTTTAAATATTTATATTTAAAAACGATAGCTGCATTTCACCCAAATTTTTTTATTACTTTGAAATTAAAAAGCAATTAAAATTGTTTTTAATACTTATAATGTAAAATCTATATCACGTACATAATTTAATGTTTAAAGCATCCATATTGCCAGTTAAATTTAGTAACTTTAATAAACATAAATTATTCCATTGTAACTGCAGTGTAATGCATATATTTTTAATTTAATATAAAATTTTATATCATAAAGAGTTCAAATTGGTTGCATTTTTATGTACGAAATTTAAAAAAAAAAGAAGAATGTTTATGTTACATAAAAATATATCTTACATTACAAATTAAAATAACAATATCAACCTACAAACAGAAATCTTAAGTTTTTGTATAGTTTATATATACATTTTTTTTTCTTCTCTTTTTTTCATTAAACTGTAAGGGTTTGTACAATCTTTGACTGTGTCGATTAAGCTTCATTGTGTATGATTATTATATTTGAATTATTAATAAATACTTAAAAAAACAAATTAGATTCTTCATTGTACTTTATTCTGATGTTATATTACTGTACTGTGGCAAAAAATTATATATAATTTTAACTTGTAAAATTAAATGTTTTAATATTGTTAAATATCAAATGTATATATAAACGTTACATATATTAATTTAATAAAACTTGAAACAAAGCAAATAACTAATTATTTATCCAATACTATTAAGAAGACAATTATTTAAAAGTTAGAATGAAAACGAAGTGTATGAAGAATCAAGTATAAAAAGCATAAACCATTTAATTTTGAATTATATGAGAAGTAACGCTGTTAATATTCAAAAACGCTTAAAACATCAATATATCTGTAGCTTATCTGTATGTATTTAGTATCGATTTTCGATTTTATTTTATTTATAACAGTAATAAAAATACTATATAACTAATTATTATTCTTGCAATATCGCTCCTAAAAATTAAATATGACATTTTCGCTAATTCTTATAAATACTGATTATTTCAATACCAATTGTATTTCAGAGATTGCTTTTTAAAACAATTAAATTAAAATGAAGTAATTTCATAGATTCAGTGGAAGTTAATTAATATTTATAGTACTAGATGTCCATTTAATTGTTGTACCAATTTGGTCCAACTCAAAATTTATATTTACTATTTATTTTACTATTCATTTTTTACACCATTATCTATATTCTTATACTACATATTTTATATTATTCTATTTATTTTACAATTTCCGACAAAAAAATAAAAAAGTTATTCTCGATATTTTTGCAATATGCAATATTTTTACGTCCACATAAATCTGAAATAATTAATAAATGTAAAATAATGAATAGTTTATTATCTACAACTACACGTTCAATTTTTTAAAGTTTAGTTTATTTAAATTTAAAATATCTTAAAAATGGATCATTCGGTATTTTTAATGATTTAAAAATAATAATTAATTTGTTGTATATAAATTATAGATACCATATAGGTTTTACGTAATAAATGGTTTAGATTACCACAAAACTTCAAATATATTTAATATAATATTTAAAATGAAATTCGAATATTTCTTTTTTTTAATTTTATTCAATATTTAGTTTTTTTGATAATTAAAAATTCTGATTCAATATTGACATTTTAATAATATATATATATTAATACTAATAATGAATTATTGTTATTATTTAATGAACGAATCAGTTATAATAATTGTAATACATTTTTCTTACATTATATTTCAAGAAATTTTCTATTAAAATTTGTTCCTTCATATTTTTATTTAGCAATAATAAAAACTCAAGTCCATAATAAAATAATCTAAAGAAAATATCATGTATGACAAAAAAAAAGTATATATATAAGGCTCAGTTAATTTTATTAAATTAACAAAAAATATTATATCTGTATATACAAGAATTCTTTCTATTGATTAAATTATTATCATACAAACTAAAATTTATTTAAAAGTTACGAAAATTTTCATGCCGAAGCCTTTGTATTATTTCCAGAAAATTGAAAATTCATATATTTTAATATTATTTCGGTAAATACAAATCGAGTTGAATTTTATAATATACAAATAATATAATTTATTTAAAACGAAATTTAAAATTTTACAATTTATAATTTAAAAAGATTGGAATATTAATATAACTCATAAAAATCAATCCATAAATCGACTATATTGTCCAAAAATCTTTATTGTACATTATAATTATTAAAATTTTCGGTGTATATTTAAAAATTATCATGATATAATTAATTTAAATTTTAATATCATAATAAAAATGTTATTATTTAATATATTGTATAAAACACTATTAAATTAAGAATTTAATTAAACTGTTTAAAATATATTTATCTCATATTTATATTAAATAAACATAAAATATATAAAAATAAATCTTGGTTATTTATTAAAAATTATTCACATAATAGATAAATCGTACTTCGCATAATAGATGTGAAAGTATTAATTAAATAATCAACTATTGTTACAGTTTTGATTATTTAAGTATATATATATATATATATACATGATAAATTTTTCATTCAATTTGCTATTTTTTTTTTAAAATAAAATTTGATATCGTATGAATTTAATGGGCGATTCAATTAACTATAAGTATGTAACTGTAATTTAATTCATATTAAATAAGGGACTTTGGATTGTATTAATTTATAATAAATATATGAATTAATTAATTATTTTCTTCAGTGGCTGATATTTTTTAATTTCTTTATATACGTTTATTATATATATTTAAATTAATATTTTTCTTATGGTATATATATATATATATATATATATATATATGAATATATACATAAATATTTTTAACTATTATTAAAATGAACTAAATATTATCATTCAGTTAAAATATTATAAGTTTTGTTATATTAATAATATAGTTATGTATAAAGATACTATAGTTTGAAACGAATATTTGAAAATCCCTTTTAGAGCTTCTGAAACATTATTAATGTGACAAACCATTTAATTTCTTATTCGTGCCGAGTTAAGTGCATGCGAACGAGCCTTATTACTCCACAAAGTCGAGCAAAACTTGAACTATGTATTACTGTCATATCACGAAAGTATCAATAGTAGAAATTGTAAATAACTAATAATTAGGAGGTGAGATGAACAAAAGAGTGATATGTTAATTAACTCTCTAGAAAAGTTATTAAACTTTTTAAGACCGTGTATACATTTGTGATTTAGTTTCACAAAAATGGTTATCCTGGAGTGGAATTGCTTTTAATCAAAAATACATTTATTCTATATATATACATGGTTTTTAATTAAACAAAATTATAATGATATTTTTATTTTAATTACTAGATTAGTTTAATGTACAACAAAATCAAGAAATTTATTTTACGTAGAGTATACAAAAGCTTTCCTGCTAAATTACATATTAAAAGTGTGCACTATAAATAATGATGTGTAATTAAATAGCATTGTTTAATATTTTCATTTTGTTATTGTTTTTGTATATACAGTGAAGGAAATATAACTATAATAAATATAAATATATGATTAAATATAATAATAGGAATGTAAATAAGGGATAGCTTGAAACATATCATAACATATATGAAATACGAAATTAATATAGGAGTTCTTAAATGTATTTATTTAATTCGAGATTCGATAAGTTATATTTTATACTTTCTTTGAGATTAAGAACATTTAAAGAATTATATAAAAAATCAAATATATTTGTCTACTAAATAGATCTAATGTTTAATAATTTAATGGCAATAAATATTCATAATAAAATTGTTTTTAAGATATAAAAATGTAATTATATTTATTTAATATCTAAAGAAAATTAGTATTAGGTAAATAATACATATTTTATATTAATAACAGATATATAAGTATAATTTTACAATTACGTAGTACAATAATTTTAATAAAAAAATAAAAATAAAAATATTTAAAAAAAATAAAAGTATATCTATTTCATAAATAATAAAAAATTTTATGTTTATAAAATATATATATGACAAATTTTATCCAACATTAGATTAGAACACTATATTTATAATTTATAAACAGCTTTAGATTATATTTATTTTTAAATCATTCTTTATTATTATTTATCAACATATATCTTTTCTTTTCTTCAAATAGAATGATTACATTTGTATTAATGAATGAAATGCATTTTTTATCTCGCTTAACATCAATTATATAAAAAATAAGCATAAACATAAAAAATATAAAAATGGAAGAAAAAAGAAGTAAAAATGCAGGTGAAGACGAGGAGTCTGAAGAATCAGAAAATATTATTATTAATGAAGTAGATGGGTTGCCAAATCTTCATCCAAATTTTGAACAATTGAATTTAAATTGTTTGAAGGACCATAGTCATGAAAATACAACATCTAGAAGCCTAGAAGATTTAATTCATGACGAAGATTTACCAATGTCTGTGATTGTTACAAATATAGATCCTCGTATTTTTAAATCAGACGATCTCAAAGTGAGCAGTTGTTACTTTTAATATTTTATTTATATATAATTATGTTTACATTTTTGTTACCACGATTGATATGATTTGTATTAGTTTTTTCTACAAATTGTATAGTTTTAAATACCCAATAAATTTTGTTTATTTTTCAGGTAGAAATTGAAAGACTATTCAAGCAATTTGGCGAAGATGCTACTTTTCAATACTTTAGATCTTTTAGAAGAATGAGGGTTAACTATAACTCTTCAAGTGCAGCTGCTCAAGCAAGAATAAAGTTACATCAAACTCATTTTGGAAATACTGATATTAATTGCTACTTTGCACAACCTGTAACGCCTATTGGTAATTTTATTATTATAAAATTAGTAAAGATTCAATGCTGAGTATAAATTAGGATAAATTTACATATACTATAAACGACAAAATTTTATGAAATATTTTATTTTTTATAGATATTGAAGATAGACACTTACATCCTCCTGCACCTCACAAGCAGTTCCTAATTTCTCCACCAGCATCTCCACCTATAGGTTGGGAACCTCGTGAAGAAAATGAACCTCTAGTTAATCATGATTTACTTGCTGCTATTGCTAATTTAACTCCAGGTTCGTCTATATTTTTACAATATATTCACTATTAAAATAATAGTGAATTATAATTATCTTATATTTACTTTTTTATAATAATAGTTTATATTTATATTTTAAAGAAGATATTTACATTTATTCTGTTAAATTTATAATAGAAAATTATTATAGTAAAAAATTTTTGAATTCAATTAAATATAATACACGATTAAGAATGAATATGTAAATTATAATTAAACAATCATTTTGATTGTATTATATTGATAAAAATACTTGAAATTTGTATAAATTCTTATATTGCTAATTATAATACTGTCCATAAATTATATTGGTAGATATCTAAAGAAAAATGCTTAATTTAATATTAAAATAAAGTATTTAATATTTAGTATTTAATTTAATATTAAAATAAGTAATATTTAAATAAACAAAGATGTGTTCAAATGAATTATAGCTTAAGCAGTAAATTTTTGGCTTAAATATTAATTAGCACGTATAAAGTATTTTTATATTATTATAATTAACACTATCAAATTATTCAAATGATTCATAAATTAAGGTATTATATTTGGAAAATCATAAATAATTGTTTTAAATATATGGTTTAAATATTATTTAATTATTTTCAATGAAGTAAAATGGAAGAATTCAAAAATTTGTAATAAATCAATATGGTTCTTAAAGTCTCAACATGAAATTATAGAATTTTGATTTTTTTCAATCTTAAAATAAAAATCAGATTAGTAAAAACTAGTAGTTAATGAAAATACTAAAAAAAAAATTATAATTTAATGTATTTTTGATTTAATAATAATATATGTTGATTATAATTTATTACTGAATTTTTAACTTCAATTTTAATTCGTATTATATATATTCTATTTAAATTGATTGTATAAAATCATACGAGTGTAGTTTTTAAAGAAAATTTTAAGAAAATTCCAATATTTTTATTACAGAATCGGTGGTTTGCTAAACGTATTATGTTTTATTCAAAAATCAGTGGAAACTAACTTTAATTAAAAATCACAATTTAATATTTTATTTCAATCATAATTTACTGTTTAATCAAAAAAATTATAAAATCAATTGTTCTATTGTTATAGGAGAAAGTCATGAGCTTCATCCAGGAAGCTCAAATCATCCAGGTATTGTTGTTCACATATGTGAAAATGCAGCAAATGCCATTAAATGTGCTGGTCCCTTACCACATACTCGATGTCCTGATGAACTTTAAATCAATCAACACGCACACTAAGCAAAGAATGTAAGACGTTTCAATGAAGGAAATCTTTATTAATATATTCTAATCTTTAGTATTTTACTGATTAAAAATGAGATTTTACTATTTTTTCCAATAAATTTTTTATATACATATATATATGAGGTTCTTCAATTGAAAGTTGAGCTGCCAAGCTACTATAAAAAAAGAAAATGTTACTTTTTCAAAATTACTTTATAATTTTATAAAAATTTATTTAGCAAGCAAAATATTCAAATAAAGAATGAAAATGGATGATATATAAATTATTAAAATATGTTTAAAATAAATTTTTAATTATCTATATTTGCATTGTAGCTTATGATATTTTTACTAAAATTTATATTCTTATTAAGAAATTGAATTAATAATTTTATCACTTTTCATGCTATGGATATTTTTTATTTTATTTTAATTTATAAATAAATAAAAATTAAAAATTTTCGTCGTAAAAATATATAATTTAAAAATTTTTTAAAAATAAGCTAGAGGAATATAAATGACAAATAAATTTATAAATACATAGGTTTTTCTTGGACGTGTAATTTATGTAAAGAAATCAATTACATGTATATCGTTTTAATAATCCATCCAAAGAGTAAAAAAGTTTATTCTTTATCAATATAGTTAAGCAAATTTTAATAATATTGGCATGATAATGATCCCAATTATTTTATTATCGAGATTTATTGTCATCGGTATTCTCTAACTAGAAAAAGAAAAAAAAGGTTATTGATAGTCATGATAATCAATGTTACACCAAAAAATACGCGATGTACGCTGTCGAATTATTTTATATGCTTCGAGATATGCACATTTAAATATTGCTGTCGAGCTTGTCAAATCATATTGAGTGGATAGAATAATTTTCAGGTCTCGAGATTACGACAGAACATCTATATTTAAATACTAAATATTTTCATTAATTAAGAAACTGAAATATGTTAATGTGAATTTTTTAGAAGTTTTTACAATATTTTTATAATAAATGAGAATTTACTTAACTAAAAATGTTATATGTATAATCATTTTTATTATATAAGTTTCTTATTATTATTTAACTTATTGTATTTTGTTTGCGTAACTTAACTGTTTAAAACAATAAATTAAAAATTAAATATAATATGTAAAATATGAAAATTATCAATCAACTTATCAATGTTTATATACATTATAACTAGTATTAAAGATTATGTTAAATTTTTTCTTGGTGTGATTAGATAGCAGTTATCAAAGAAGCATACAAAAAACAGTAACATTAAAAAAAATTATTTTATATGTTGTAATATATAATATTGTCATTATATCAAGAAATGTACAAGTTTAACGGAAAACTGTTACAGTATGTCTTAGTCATAAAAAATATACTTAATTCAAATTATAAATATTTTAAATGTAGAAATTCATTACTTATGAAATGTAAATATAAATCGATAATCTTTTTTTTTTACTGAACTAAATTTATTCCATTAATTAAGACACATTATTATGCGATCTACAGAAAAATAAAGTTTAATAGCCATATAAATTATAAAATAAAAGTCAATAAAAATTTAACATAAAGAGGCAACAATAATTTTATTAAATGTACATAAATATCAAAATTCATATAAAAAAAATACGTTATTATTATTACAAAATTAATAATAAATTTTCATTAGAATATGTATATGCACTTGATAAATGACGAGTAAGTGAATATTTTGGGCAATCTGTGAAACCGTAACTACTTCAATTTAAAAGATAACAAACTTAACGCTTATTGCTTATAAATTATGATAAATAGCATTTAATAAAAGTAAAATTCGCCTTTTTCATATTTTGATAGTTTTTCTATGTTTATTTTTCAAAACGATGTAATTCTTAACTTTGTTAAAGAATATAAAAATATCAAATTAGTGTTTTCAATGATTGTTTATTTATACAAAAAATTAATATATATTAAAAAATATTTAATACACATTTACAATTAAAATAACATTTGCATTATTAAATTGTTATAAAAAGTATTTTCAAGTTTGATATGATTTTAATTTCAATCAACTACGAGTGTTTAAAAAATCAAAAAGATTTTTAAAAAATTATCCTATTTTACATATTAAACATTAGCTCTTAATACTTTTTTTACTAATACTATTATTACGTTGCTATTATTACTTAAGATTGCATGCTTTTAATAATATATCAAATATAATTTAAATTAGATTAATTGTTCGATGCATTCGAGTTATCGTCTCGAATAATTTAGAAAAATATAAAATTTCCAAACAAATTGCTGTAAAACCCAGAGTTGTTATAGAATTCGATAGTACAATTTACGTAATTCAGTATGTTTATCTTAAAAAACAAATTATTGTAATTAGTTTTTTAAAGTTTTTAGATGTGTTTTTAAATAATCTTACTACTAATTAATGAAATAAAAACGAAAGATTTTCAAGGTTTTAAATCAGAAGACCTTGTAAAGGGATTAGGTAGTGCTTTTATACTTAATTTATTTTTTAAATTCATTTACATAAGCAAATAAAATGTAGATGATTTTGTATAGTAGTGTATATTAAATGTTATTATATTATTTGAAAAAAAATTTGTAAAAATTTTACGTACGTTTTTGTACAAATGTTTATTATTCAACATTACAGATTGTTGAAATTAAAATAATGAGCTATAATTTTATAATAATGCTTATTTATCTTGAAATGTAAAGTGTAATATCGTAATAAAAACAATATTATTGATATTGTATGATCAGCAATATTATAAAAATACAATTATAAAAATTATAATATTTGTAAATGAAGAATTGTATTTAACAGAGTTGTTGCATTTTTTAAAAATCACTACATACAATATATTTATCGAAATAAATATAATTATTTACAAAGTTCTCTGAACAAAATAATTATATATATTATATGTTCATAAAATTTCTAATTAAAACGAAAATCTTTTGAATAAGATATATGAAAAGAAATTTTAATAGTTTATTTCGAATGCATATTTTTGACTGCCCAATCAATATTTTCGAAACCTAGAATAAGTGCATATCACCTTCTTAAAAAATATTGCTTACAATAAATTTGATAAAGAAAACTCGTTTTTTTTTTTTAACTGCCTAGTCCTTTAATCTTATAATTATCCGGGAAAAAATTACGTGCAAGCAAAGATAAATAAACATTTTATTTTATGTTAATAGCATATAACTATTATCTACATTTTATATGACTTCAAACAGATAATGTTCATTTATCATACAAAGTTTTCCCTAATAACGTAGTAATTTAAATACGAGTACATAACAAATTATTACGTAGCAAATAAAAAAGTTAATAAAATAAGAGTTTGTAGCAGCATGCATTACTTAGGAATTGAAAACAAAATATCATAGATTGTTATAAAAGATAATTATCAATATTTCATTGACACTTTTAATATTTCTGGAATATTTAAACATCTATTCAATATAGAAAGAAAAAATTTAAGGCGTTAGTGCTAAGTTTTAATACAACTTGTCTATTACTTTCTTAATGATAAATAATTAATTTTATATTGGCTTGTTCCTATGCGTATAAAATATAAAAATAGATGTAAATACATTTAAACTTTTTAATGCATATAAATACATGCTATTAATTTCAATTTTAATATGAATAATAGTTTTTTGCTTTTGTAGGTGTAATAGAAAAAAAATGTCAAAAAGCATTCTGAATAATCGAACTTAAACGTATTAATAAAAATTAAAAATGAATCAAAATTTACCGTAACAGCTTTAATGTAATAAAATTAATTATACAATATAATAAAGCTAATATAAATTGCTGAATGTAATTTTTAGATTCTAGAGATTTTTCTGTTAGTCGTTTTTCAAGTTTAAAAACCAAAATATGCTAAATGTTTGGTCACATTGTAATGACCAATTTACTTTGTGTGAATTTTTCAAGATTATATTGTTTGAAATATAAATATCGATTTTATGAATAAAAATCATTCGTATTTAATTATTAGCATGAAAAAATATATATACAATCATATGTATATTTTGTTGGATTGTATTTTCACTTCTAATCTATTATAATTTCTTTTAAATAAAAAATTATAAAGCTTTAAAAGATTTTACATTGATTTTGCTGTCTTAGTCTTAAACTTTTCTTTTCTGTTCAATTGCCATAGAAACTATAGATCTCATTTTGGATAACTTCATCCTTATTTTCTATTATTCATATATACTTAAACGTTTAATTGTTGTATTAATAAATAATATTTAAAAGGCCGTAAAAATTTGTATTAAATCCCTTGAAAACAATTTTATAAAAAATTATAAATGAAACAAGGTATACACGATTTTCGTTTAATAAACATTAATTATTAGAAATGAAAATATTTTACGAATGTTCAAAAGAAATAAAATTTTTTTCAATGGATAATTTTAAACAATTTCGAATAAAGATATATTTAATAACTATTTATGTAAATGAAAATAAGAAACACAATGTTATTAATTACTGAAAACTTGCGGTATGAATGTATCCCAGTATTATTTGGAAATATGTGTATATGTTTTTACGTTTACGTAAAACGCATATGCATAAGACATATGTAAAAAGAAAATTAAAATATATTTAAGATGCTTTATTTCCTTTATTATTACAGTGCCATGAGTGCATTTTAAATCCACTGCACTGTAAGGTCCGCGTCATGCGTACTGAATAAAAAAATTAATAAATCGTATCCTCAAGTCTATCAATAAAATGTTTTGAATCAAGATTATTTTGAAAAATATATTGTATCATTTTTATGGAAATATTGTAAATAAAAGATACATAAATTGTTTACTGATTTTTTTAATGATTACACATAAAAAATGATCTCAATATGGGAAGATGTAATTAATTAAATATAACAAATATTAATTATCAAAAAAATTTTCATTTACCAATTAATATATTCACTTTTCTTTAAAAATATTAATATTATCAAATATTTACTTAATATATACTGAATGAATTTATATATATATATATATATATATATATATAATATCTCTAAAATTTAATATATTATCAAACTTATAATGTGTTATTTGATTGATTTGTACAGTATATGTAATGAAATCCGAATATAAATATTATTAAAAATTAAAACATTTTAAATTCTTTTTTATTTTAATACTTTTAACACCGATTATCTTAGGTTTTAGAAATATTTTTAATTTCTATAAATATAAAAATATAAAATAAATGTAATGAAGAAAAAGAGGTACAGCTTCCAAAAAAATGTTGATTTTTCTTTAATCCATATTGAATTGAATTTTTCAAATTCTTACAATTCGATACTTTTAACGCTTACATATTACAAAGGCTTTTTACAAATTATTGTTATCCACTGCATCGTGGAACATCCATGTACATAAATTCATATTTAACTTATTTCAACACACAGTCCCTAGAATTAATATTTCTTTGATCAATTTTAATACTATCCAGCGCTTGATAAGCTAAGTACAATTTTAATAAAAAAATGAGATTTATTTTCAATCAAATTTGATTCGAAAATATAAACGAAGTGTTCAATGTGGAATCTAAATGATGTATATTTTATTTATAAATTCTAAAAAATCAATATCCGACTTTAAATCAACAATTTGTAAATAAAAATTAAAAACTAAAAATTGAATTGAAGTCTTACAATTGAAAAAATAAAATGCAGTAATTTAGGCCTTAATTTTTTTATTTTTTTTAAGGCCTTGTGATAGATAAATTTAACAAACTACATATTGTCAATAAATGTTCATTTTTTCTCAATATAAATTCACTTATATCGATCGTTTTTCAATTATAAACAATTTTTAAGTCCAATGAAAAAAGTATGTATAAATTATTATTTTATTAATTTCAATATTATTTTTTTTTTAATAATGTACAATTAAATTTAAATGATTTGATTATTTACAGTTTTTACCAATAAATAGTATGAAAAAACTAAAATGAAACATAAGAAAATTAATTAATTACAAACAATAGATTATTTAAAAGAGTATGTAAAAATTTTGTTATATGAAGAGTAAATGTTATTTCATTATTTAATTATAATTTATTTATATATATATATATATATATATATATATATATATATATATATATGATGAATTACTTGTAAATAAAAAGAAAATTATAAGCTTTTCAAAAATGATATTAAAAATAATATAATGAATATACTTATTAGTATTACAATAATATTTAATCATCTATAAAAAGAATAACTATGTAAAATTTATACATAATTTTTTCTTAGAACTTATATATATTTTACATATGACTAAATTATATATGTGAACTAAACAATTTTTGGCAGTCACTTTAAAACCACAATTAAATAAGACAGTTGAAAAAAAGAAAAAATTTTCAGATCTTTCTTACAATTTTATCTTGTAAACATTATTCAAAGCTATTAGTAATGCCTTATAAATTTATGTTCTACTCATCTGAATATTTCGTTCTCTTTTAAGCATTTAAAAAATTTTAAAGCGACCTTGGGCCATGAAAATTTTTCAGACAAGATAAATTACGATTATTGTTTACAACTGCAACGCAGCAGTTTTAAATACCAGGCATCGTTATTAACTAAATACATAATTTTCAAATGTGACACACGTCTCATTTGAGTTCTTGTAGCGGATCTCAAATTATTACAAAAATAGAATGTACTAGTCAAGAATGGACTCGAGCAATCTTTACGCATAATTATCGTTATGCCATATAAACAAATGTATTGATATCGTTATCATGCCTTCGAATATATTTATGTTCAATGAGCCATTCAATTTGTTCTTTAATCATTTTTTTACTCGGCAGAAACATATTCTTTAATATATCAACCAATTCTGTCTGTAATTGACTATTGGTGATTTTCTTTCGCATCTTTAATATTTTTATAATTGCTTCCTATGGATAAAAAGATAATTGTCATTAATCCAAAATAATTATATGTATTAACAAAAATTTAGTATTTATTATATTTATAAACTTACTTGAACACGTAATATCCTAAGTTGAACAATAGATTGATTATCTTCCTCTTTACTACGTTCTGTCGATAACTGCAAACGTCCTACCAAATTGATCTTTCCACGCTTTTGTAATTTACCATTTTTTCTGAATGACATATTAAAAATTCAATTGTTATTCATCGTTAAATTAAATATAAATTTTTTAGAACATTTATTTATAATATAAATTATAGATATTCAATTAACGTATCTTTATTGAATTATTTATCGATAAATATCTTTGATCAATGCTCAATAAGCTATTTTGTACAAAGTCAGTTTGAATTAGAAAAATAATGAATCAAAAAGATAAGGAACTGTTTATTTCAATCAATTATAATCCATTGTATTAAATATCATACATTACTCTAAAATTTACTTACACAATCGCGAATTCTTGATTAACCCAGAATTTCGTTGCTTGCGAGAAATCCTTAGGACTATGCGTAGGGGGATCGGCAACGATCAGCTGCCTCTTTATTTTAGGGAAGGCGCAGAGCGACCAAAGTGTTCGTCGTAATTCTGGATCTGGTAATTCCGTCGCTAATCGAAGATTTTCATATGATATCTTCTCAAGTGGCCGTTGATTCCAGGCAAATAATACAGCCATCTGGAAAGTTGTAACATCCACATCGAATCGACCAACTTGATTCGAAAACGTTATCTAAAAATATTTATATCTATATAAATATATTTATATGATTATTAATAAAATGAAAATTTATGAAAAACAAAATGATATAATAGTACGCTAGTAAGATGTATTAAATATTGTCTGTGGTTTCAAAAATGTTGGTAAATCAAATTTAACCTACCGTGCCATTCGACATGTGATGATACCATTGAAGCTTCCTACCGCTATGTTTTTTCTTGTAAAATTCTTCGACTTCGGGTATGTAATCTTCTAATTGAAGCGGCAAACTAACTGTAACGCGCTCACTACCTCGTGCCCATGCACCTGCATTTAATATCTACAAAAATATTGTACGTATCATTTTAGATCTACTTGCCAATTATAAGTATTGCTATTTGAAAACTATGCTTACTTAGGTATAAAATTATTTTGTATATCTATAGATATATTTACTAATTCTAACAGTTACATAACAAACAGTAAATTAGATATTATCAATTAGACGCAATGTACTTTTCAATTAATAGGCTACGTCGATACTGACACGAATTAAATGAAAATTTGTAAATTAAAGAACATGTCATATTAGTAACAACGATATTTCATTGTAATTATTTATATATATATTTTTTTTTTTTATAAATTATTGGAATGAAGTTTTAATACAACGCTACTGACAATAAAGGCAATTAACACATTTATTTAAAGCAACTTTTTTTTTACTTTGTCAGCCTTAACAAAGCATCAGATCATGAAAAAAGTATATTCGATAGTTAAAATATTAAGATAATATTAGCCGCAAAATATGTTACTTTAATGTTGATGCTGTCAGCAATAGCGGCACGGCATTGTTCCTTGAATTGTTGATTCAAATCTTGCGAGACTTTAATGTCTTGGAACATGCGGGCCAATTTATTCACGTAATCCGCTGGCATACCAACTTCTCGAAGCCATTCGACCATATTTTCTTCCTTCTCCGAATCAGCGGACGTGTCCAATATTAAACGTCGCGTTAAATGTGCTTTATGATAGCGCATAAAGACATCCTTATTTTGAACGTACTTCAATACCAATAGCTAAAATACAATAGTACTTTATAAAGTGCATATTTAAGTCGGGAGCAATGACGATACCAATAAACAAATTTCTTTCAAAGAAATGTGCCTTTTTTTTTTTTTTTTTTTTTTTGTTAAAGCAGCATAGACGAGTTAATAAAAATTAAGATTGTAACGGATCCCATGCATACCACGTCTCTCAGCTTGCTTTCGATCTCGTCAGACGTGAGCTTCTTGCTAAGCGGCGTTTTTCTCAATAACATATCACAGTAATTGGCTAAAAGTTCGGGACACTTGGACTCGGGTTGTCCGTTATTATTGTTTGCCGGTTTACTGTTTATACCCGAGCCTAGACTTGCGATAGTGCCGATAATGGGCGCAGGCGGGATGAGGGATGTACCGCCAGCACCTTGCCGTACAGGCAGGTCGAGTTTGAAGACGGAAGAGTCGTTGACGACGAGCTTATAGGCCTTGTCACGGGCCGTAAGGAAACGCGGATCGTCGTCGAAAGCTTCCTTTACGAGGGTGGAGAAGCGCCGGAAGAGGTCCAACAGCCGCTCCACGTACTTCTCCGAATCCTGGGTAATTATATCTACAGCGGCCATCATGTCATCCAAACCTGCGGTTGCTATGTGCTCCTCTAAATCGACGAGCATCGGAGTTACGCCCTCGGGCACTCGATCCATTAGCTTCAACATTAGCCGTAGTTCTAATAGAGAATAATTCGAATCTCATGACATTCTACTAAATTATAATGGAATTATTGTTTCATTATAAATTAAAAAGGCATCTAAACATAAATTTTTAAATATACTTTAATATTTTATACAAAATTCGCAAATTAACATTTTTTTCTCGTAATCAATTTATAATTGTTTATGTAAGCTATGTCGATTTGTTATATTTCAACTGATTGACATAAAAAAAACTTTATGAAAATTGTTTTTAAGGAAAGTTGTAAGTAAATTTTTTTTTTAATAATTTTTTTATAAAATGAAAAAATTATACTCGATATAAATTTTTACGATCGGTTGTTTAAATCACAAAAAGTAAAAATCTTTTATCTTAAAATCCCTACTAGTAATCTAAGATATTTAAAGTATACAATTTTTTTATCTTCTCTTATTCTATCATCTTTAAATTTATCCTGATAAATACAATAAATAATTAAATTTCATAAATCGTATAATCGTATTAAAATTCTAAATGATACACTCTCATAAAAGATAAATATAGTTATTATAAAATTAATATAAGAAGAAAAATAAATATATTGACTATAAAATAATATTTGAGAAATTTTTTTTTTTTTTATACATTCTAGGCAGTTAATTAATTTGGTTATCGACTTAAATTATGTTAATGTAAAATTAAATGAATTTGCATTCAATTAGCGTAAAATAGAAATTAAAAAATTCAGTTATAAATAAAATACAATGCAGTTTGTCTAAACAAATTTTCATTTCTAATTAATAATTAAAGTTATATAAAACATTAATATTCCACTAGATATGTGCCGTATAAATCAGTTTCTTTAAAAAATCTTCTTTTAATTTTATATAATATATTGTTAAATGAAACTTTAAATAGATATATAAATGAATTGTTAAAAAGTGCTTAAAGTTATTTGTTTAATAATTGTAAGCAGACTTTTTTTTAAAAAAACATTTGAATTTGATAAATTTTTTCTACCTAAAATTATGTAATTTATTTTATTTTCATGGAACACTTACTTTCTGTTTGATGTTGCTGTATCATTCTAGGACATTCTGCGAGTATGGCAGTTCTGAAATTAGCAACTAATACTTTAACACAACGTTCCATTAAAAGTTGAACGCTAGCACTGTTTGGCTCGAGGTACTTTTGCGCGCGTAATTCCTCTTCTTTTAATTTTGTTTCTGCATATCTCATGTACTTTTCTACTCCATACAAAGATAATTGCTCAGGTGCTTTAACCCAATAGAAAGCTTCTGTTGCTTCAATATAAGCAGCTTCAAAATTATTTCTATAAATTTCTAATTTATCAGACGTATTTGAGCAAAGATTCACTGTAATATTTATAAAACAAATTGAATATTTAATTAAATAAATCCTTTCTGAGAACGTTTAAATCAATTACTCAAATAAGAATTTGGTATTATTTGTAAAGATTTTTACTATTCATAAGTATTTCTACATTTAATGTCAATGCACGTGTTCTTCATAGTAAATTAAAAAAAAAAAATTGTGTTTAATAAATAAATAATTTTTTACCATACGATTCTCTAACACCAATAACAAGTTGTGAATCAAAAACTTCACCATTTCTCTCAGTCCGTACAAGCCTCATAGCTGAATCTTGTAGCCTTTGCTTAATATCATTAAATATACTTTGATTCCAACTATCAAGCATCAACTATTTATATGAATTAATTAATTAGTAGTTGTAATTGTATAATAATGTCTTCATAAAATTATAAGATCAATTTTGATATTAAAATATTGAAAAAAAATAATTCATCAATAATAATTATATATTATAATTATTATGGGTTTGATAGATATTTAGATAAATACAAATATATTATGTATATTTATATATTATATTTGTATTTATATGAAACTAACCTTCCTAACAATACTTTCATCGGGTTGATTCTTTTTTTGCATACTAGTACTTGTCTTTCCTCGTAACGATGCTTCTAACTGTCTAAATGGAGTTGGTAAATAATTACACTGTGTAAAAAATTTTCTCCACTCTGCTATATAAGCTTTTAATAAAGCTTGTTCTTCTTGATGAGCCATGACTCTCTACAATTTATTAAATTTGAATTTATTAGCTTAATCAAAAAAAATTCAAATATTATGAATAAAATTCAAGAAATAAATTGTATTCATTTTATTGTAGATCAATTTTGCATTAATTAAAACAATAAAAAAAAAAGATAGACCTGTTGAGCCTGCTTTATAAAGTCCATAATATCTTCTTTTAAAGCATCTCTTAATTTGGGTGGACCTTTCTCATCTAGACATACTTGGTGAACAGAATAAAAAAGATCTTGCCATTCTGCTTGTGTCACTGGCTCCTGCTTCAAAAGTTTCAATATAATTGGTCGCATACATGGCCACGCATTTTCGAATATAAACTGACTCTGTAATAATATTAAAATTTAATAAATATTTGCATTCAAAGTAACTGCATTCAAAGTTATATACTAAACATTGCGTTAAAATAATATTTTCAAAATATTGATAAATTTATTATTGTAAACAGGAATATTTATGGAAAATAATAGAACAAATAATTTAAGAAATAATAAAATGTGCCAACTAAACAATCGCACATTTTTTTATTTTAAATGTAATTTAATTACTCTTTTGCTGCTTACAAAAATAAACAATATTTACAGATTTAATATTTTTCTAATGTTTACATCATGCATTGATAAAGAAATATAATATTTATTAATAAATTTAAATAACAAAAAAAGAAATAAAAGGCATAAGTACTCATAAACTTCGCAGATAAATAAACAATACAATATATATAATATTTTCTGTGATGAAATTGTTATATATATAAAAAACAATAAAAATTTTTTAAAACCTTATTTAAAACCTTATTCAACTCTTGCCTCTTTCGACAAATTTTGAAAAAAATACGGATACAGAATTTCCAAAATTGTCAAATTTCTGTACAAATAAACGAAAATATTTTTAATCTAATGTATTTATAATAATTTGATAATTTTAGCCGATTTTTATTAACTAACCTTTAATAACGACATCACAAAAACTTTGACATGTCCCGTCGACTTCACCCGTTGTCGTCTTGCATATGAGGTTATGTGACCACGCTAATGTGATAGGGTGGTTTGTTCAGTTTCAGCACAGTTGTACCACTTGACTATCCAATAACAGTTAATATCGTATTATATCGCATGTAATAACTCGAAAAAAATCAGAGAATTGTGTACGTAAGGAAAAACGAAAAGAGAAACAAATCCTTTTTACATAGGATCAACGTTATCGCGCAAGTTTTTCATACATTCGGCGATAAAATTCTGATTTCTAGTGATAAGTTTACAATACTGACAGCTTTTCAATGTTAATAAATAGGTACCGAACATGTAATAATACATCACCAAAATCGGCTTCATCAAAGATTCCAATACCGTTGACAATTATTTTGATTGAAATACATCATTTCAAATAGTGCATTTTAAATTTCGAACGTTAATTTGATTTGGTCTTACTTTTCGGGTCATAAGACTTATTTGAATATTATAAAAATACAATAATTATAATATTTCGATGTAACACCAAATTTTTACAGATCTTATGTATATAACAGAGCAAAATTTAATTAAAAAATTAGATATATGAAACCAATTGAATTTATTAAAAATATATTATAACTTATTTCAAGCATAAACTTTTACAAAATTATTTTAAGCCGTTTCATTAATAAATAAAGAGTATGGAATAATTTAGGAATTAAAAGTGACAATAAAAATAATAATAAACGTATTACTAATATCAATAATTATTAATATGAAAGATTTCAATATTTTCGAAATAATTAGAAATGGGTTCAAAATTATTATATCTGCTTCATCGCTCTATTAGTGAATAATAAACATTCAAAATCAAATTTTTTTCACGTTTACAAGAAAACTATTAACAAAGAATACGTATTTGGTATTTAGTAATTGTTATACTTATTATTATTGCAAATTAAATTATAAAAAGTTAAATAGAAAATTTGTAAAGTTTTCATGATTCCCTACTTTAAGATATTTCATTACTATTCATTCGGTGAAATAAAAATATATTTTAAAAGAAGTCACTAACTTCATATGTAGATATAAATTATTAAAAATTATAATCAATTCATGATATGTTTAAATGGAATTTTTTATTAGAATAAAATAGAAAATTAAAAAATGTCATTTCAAAATAACGTCTCATTTAATTATTACGATAATAGTATTCTATAGATTTAAAAATAATATAAATATAGTAAAATTACCTATTGTGCGGATGTTAAAAATGCATTTTAATTTTTAAATCAATGAAAATTAAGAATATTAAATTATAAACCTATCATCTTTATGTAAATTACCAATATTTGATATTAAAATGATTAAAACAATCATTTGACCGAATAATTTACATCGGGTAAATCTTCCAAATTCTGTGGATTATAAAGATTAAATATTTAAAAAAATAAAATTCTTGTTAACCATAAAATGAAAAATTGATATTCAAGGTTGTGTATATGCAGTATAATTAAGAATTAATTCTGATTTATTATTTAGATCTGCATATGAATTTTTGAAATATGTAAAAATTCTATTTATCATATATTTAAGTTAAATATTTAATAATTAAAAATATTTCATAAGCCTCGTAATAATATTAACATTAAAATTTTAAAATAACATTAAAGTCTGAAGATGTATAATTTGTTTATTGTTGTAAAATGTGTTTAACATAAAAAAATTTTAAAACAATAAAAATATTGTTTTATTTTTAGGTACAAAATTAAAAAGGTTCTTTAATAAAATAAATTCAATTCTGACCATAAATATAGATCTTACAATATTCGATAGCTTTTATAATTTTCTTCTTAACATTTGTGTTGATTTTTAAAGTTTATACGGTAATTAAAATAATTTTGTAAATAAATATCCCCTTGAAAATATTACATTTACTATTCAAAACAGAAAGAAAAATCAATATAATCTAGAGATTGATATTAAAGGTGATCAAAGGTCATCACAAGGATGTAGAAAATTAAATAAAAATTAATTTGTAATAATGAATAAATCATCGAAAATATGGATCTTTGGATATTTTAAAATAAAATATTTTTAAAAATAAAAATTATTAGTCTAAATATTTATAATTATAATTTTAAAGTTTAAAACAAAATACAGTTTTTTTTTCGAATCTGAATACTAGTACAATTTATAAATATAAAAAAACTTCATTATAATATTCCTGTACATTTTATCATTGTTTATTTATTATAAAAAATATGAAAAGGTAAAATATAAACATTTCTTTTATTCATATAGTATTTAATATTTATTATAAGAATTCAGATACATCATAACAGACATTCATTCTAATAATAATAATAATTATACGTCTTTAAAAAGCGTTTTTTGAATATTCAATGAATACTCTTCATAGATAAAAACTGAATCTTATAAGATTCTAATTTAGTTTTAACAGGAAAATATTAATATCTCGAATGTGTTCATCGTAATTTTAAAACATGAAAATTTAAATGTCTTTTACAATAGTGTAATTATCACAAGGCAAGTAATTTGCATTTGAATGAACAATTATGTTGTAATGTATTGTTTCAAAAGCATCCATGTATCGATATATAAAGTTGGTTGTACAAAAATTCAGTTTCAAACATTGATTTTCAGTCGAGTGATTAATTTCTGCACATAGAAAAATTGTATACTGTTATTTTTATTTCTATTTAACGATAATACATGTTATTACCAATATTTTTTAGATATATATCTATATATTTAATAAGTTTGCACATTTTTGCATTATATAAATCGCCCAATATCGTTGAAGCGATTTAGTAAGACAAGTATTACGAATCTATTATTTCTTCTATCTTGTTTTTTTTTCATTCGTTCATCTATTGGTAACGTTTAATATCTTATATAACAATTATTACAATTATAATCGCAATGTAACTATAATGTTCCACTAATTACCAATTACTAAATATGTGATAACGTTACGAATGCGCAATGTTATTAATTTTATTTGCAATATTACGAATGAGCTTCTTTAATATTAATGAATAATGAAGTAGTAAATCGGATATCTACCGATCGTATGTGGTGGGTATAGCTGCATTTAATTTTCAAATTCATCTTTATTTTTTCTCCTTTTTTGAGCGAGTAAATGTGCTTATGTGCAATCGTGCTTAAGAATTATGCTGCGATAAAACGTTTCCATTAAAAAACAAAAAAGAAAAAAAATGAATGAAAGAAAATAAATTGATCATGTGAATCTATAATAGATTCTCGTTCGATAAATTTTTAAAATATAATATAAAATAAAACTCATAATAGATGCATACACATATATACGATAACAATGTAACATAAAATTCGTGATACACAACAAAAGGAGAAAACGCGTATCATAGCAATAACGCGAAGACAAGATTTCGCAATTTTCTTCACGCATGGAAAAATAAACATTGTTGAGTAGTATATATTTAATGCGTATTATCCAATAATAATAATAATAATAATAATAATAATGATAATGATAATAATAATAATAATCGATTTTCGATCCAACCGAAAACGTAATATGGAACTTGTCAAGTTATTCCGAATTGTAAATTCTTGTCCTCCGTGAGTATCGAAGTACATCAACGGCCCTTCGAAGCGATGAAAGACCGGTGGCTAATGCGTTGTAATTATTTCTTTTCGCCTTCGTAAATTCCCTTCTCGACTGCTTCATTTTGATTATCGTCCAAAGATGAGTTACATAACATTTACCAGAAGCCACCAGCGCTGCGACCACCGGGTGGATTGTTGACGCGGATGCAGGATCGCGAAGTTTCTTTAGAGTCCTCTGTTATTAATAAATAAATGATAATTTTTAGTACTGATTAAAAATTAACAAGCTGCCTTTCAATTAGCTAATGATTAAATTAACCACGATAAGCGATAACTCTACATAGACTACTTTTCCTTAAAAATTTCTTAAAACATAATATAAAATGTTATGTAATATTGTAGACATGTACGCCGAAATTTGGCTGACCGGATAGCAATAGATATAAATTATAGATACAACATGAATATCTAATTAGATTTAATGAAATGTGCTGATCTATAGGTGGCATTCTCGATATTTGAATTATATTAAAATATAATGCTGCGACTAAACAACGAAAATCTTAAAAGCTCAAATGTGAAAGCTCTTACCGCTGATGGAGAAGGTTGAGTCCTGAAGATTCCTCTGCCCCTCGAGCCTCGGGCCTTTGAAGGACGGTGTGGCTATGGCCGAGTTTGGGAAAGTCGATGTATAAACAATTGTTCTAGGTCTTGCATACTCCCCGTCATAATGTGAGGTCCCGTTGGTTTGCACGTGATTGTTCTCATTGGTAGCGGCAACGGCGGAGTCGGCGGCGGCAGCGGCTGCTGCAGCTTTAGCGGCTTTTGCGGCTTCTCGGGCCTTGTCAAATACCGCCTCCTCCTCAGCGTATTTTCGTGCCTCAGCCTCGGAACGTGCAACTCCACGAGGACGCTTTTCACGCTCCTCCACGACTTCGTATACATAGCTTGGATAAGCTGGACACTCGATGAACTTGCCGAAGCCGTGCACCGCCTTCAAATCGCATTCGTCTACGCACACTCTGCCACCAACCACTACGTATTCTGGCACCCCATACACTTCCATGCCCTAGGTCAAATTGTAAATTCTTATTTTTATTTATGACAAAAGGTTGATGGGGGTCTTGGGTGAGCCAAAGCTCTAGGTAATCGCCTTTATATATAAAAGCTGATTTGTCTCATTTTCAATAGCTCGCAGCATTATAAAAACTTTTGAAAGTTGAACATAATTAACAATTAAAAACATAAATTATCTTGATTATTTTATTTTTCTTATTTTTTTGGTTCAATATTACTACGTTATATTCATTCATAGTATATTAAGTTACAAAAAATTATCATATATTTCTGTCACATGAAAATACATATATATATAAAAATAAAAGATATTTAGACTTTTTCCATTAATAAACAATTATTTGCAACGTTTTTAACTTATTCAATGAGTAAATTATTTTAATGCAACAATGACAAGTATATAAACAACTATTTTTAATGATTGCAAATGTTAGCAAACTTCTTTTGTAGATATAGAATTAATGTATTACTAGTAACAACTTGTAAAACAACTAAATATTTACTCTTTAATAAATATGAGGTTTATTATTATCGTATTAAGTTGAAATTGTTCATTTTTTCATTATTTTATGAAAGATTAAAAAAAAAACTATTCGACATAATATTAAATTTTTATAAGAAATGTGCAGTTACCTTTTTCATAAAATTTATATTTAATAAATTTTAAATTATTTTTTAATAATACATCATGATTATATATATACAGCTCAATTGTTACCAATAAGCATATTAAAATTTTCATTTTTACCTTCTCATATTAATCTCGTTTAAATTTCTATTATTATTTAAGTCTTTTAAGATTAAAGTATATTGAAATTCGTTAATTACGGAAAGATTTAATTACATAAACGTGACTTTTAATATTTGTTCCATATTTATCGTTATAGGTATAGTTTTATACGATCTTTTAATATAAAAGATAAATGAATTTTGTACTCAATAAGTAATTTGTTAAAAGAATATAAAAATTAATATAATATTAATTAACAAAATGAAAGAATTGATAAGCCGTTCTTTTCACTTCAAAGAATGTAATTTTTCATTAAAAATTGTCTTCTGTAATACAACTAATAATTATTTAATTTTCTGGGAACCTTTAGTTCAGTTAAAAAGCATGTTTTTATTTAAAATGTTTACATATTTTTGGTACTTAAAAGAGAAGTGTATATTGTCAGTAGATATGTAACTTAACGCATTATTAAATCACGTGTTGAATTTCTATCGATTTCTCTTAAATTGTTGTCTATCAATTATAAGCACCTTTATGAATAATGTTATTTTAATAAAAATTATAGTAAACGCGAGAAAGCAGAGATGATTGATGAAATTAAACAATACAATAGATACAATATTAGTGATCATAATACGCAAGTTATGATTTTCTCTTGAATATCAAATAGCTTTGGCATATTTTTGCAGTAGCCGCGTGAACGCTCACCTCGAAGATGTTGAAATCGCAGGCCTGATGATGAGTCTCGGCGGAGATGACACGATTAGAGCTTGGGTCCCAGACGACAATGTCGGCGTCCGAACCAACGGCAATGACGCCCTTTCTCGGATAGAGGTTGAATATCTTGGCCGCATTGGTGCTTGTGACGGCGACGAATCGTGTCGGATCCATGATACCATTGTACACACCCTTGTGCCATACAATGGACATGCGGTCCTCAACACCGTTTACGCCGTTGGGGATTTTGGAGAAGTCATGTTTACCAAGAGCCTTTTGGTCGCTGTTGAAAGTGCAGTTGTCGCTACCCGTCACTTGCAGTCCGTCCCTACGCGTCATTGTATAATTCTTATTCTTTACATTATCAATAAAAGACGAGCGATACCTGCCAATCTTCTACATAATAGATACTTTTTTTGAGAACAAAAAGCATACGAAATATTATTATCTTGAGAAAAATTTTAAACTAATTTTTAACATGCTGAAAATTTTTGTTTTAGACATATGCTATTTTCGTTATTAATTTCGTTATAGATGAAAATATTTAATTTTCAACAAGCCTTTTAGTAGAATGGCTAAAATAGTATCGTAATCCATTATTTATCACTGTGAATGCGCGCGCGCCTGTTTACACAATATTCTTGGTGGATTTAATTCACAATGTCTTATGTATTAAAAATGTGTATAGAAAAATAACTGACGTATTAATTTTAAAATTTCAATTAATAGAGAAGCAATATGATATTCATTTATGATTATCATATCTTCATCTTCTATTTTCATGGTTATCATAATCATTAGTATTCATAATCATAATTATCATTATAGTGTAAGATGTAATTAATTATCAATATACTTTCATATCTGCCATTATATATAAACAATTAATGTAATGAATATAATAAACTAAAGAATAATTCAATGACATTTTTTTTAATTTTTCGGAATTCCTTTGAAGTAACATTTAAAGATTAAAATAACCTTTAAAGGTTTTATAAAGCAGATGCAATAAGAGTTTAGCACATGATATCTTTATAAATTATAAATTCTATATAAATTATAAATTGAAATTTAATGATTTTATGGAATTGAAGATAAATAAAACATTATCTCAAAAATTATCGTAACAAACGTATAAACAATAAATCAAAATAATATAGTGATGAATGGATAATAATCCTGCCTACTCGTAATATTTCATTAGTATATAGTTATATAAATAAACATATATAAATGCATTAAAAAAAAGATAAAAAAATATAATCTCTTTATGTTCGATAATTTTCATTATAGAGATATTATATAGTAACAAAATTACTCTAGGACCACCATTTTATAATGTGTATTTATTGAAAATTAGATAAATCATCGGCTATTATTGTGATGATACTTATATCCCACGCTGAAAAAGCTTTAAACAAAAGTTCCTTCTCAATTACTAATTAAATTACTTTTTCACCTCTAAATACCACAATATTCCAAGTTAATATTTTACACAATGAGAATGCATTTGATTCTCAAATAACGTACAAGCTACCTTAAAATAGATAAGAGTTTTCTTTCAAATTTAATTTCCGTAATATATGAATTGTTCGAGGACCTAAAAAGCGTCAATAGTTGTTTACGCAATGAAATAGCGTTTCTATTCCATTACGTCTCACTTGACGCGTATTAATTGCCAAGGAGCAGCAACTGGCTGACTGTTTCTGCATCCTTCTTGCCGCATCTAATCAAGCCCAGCTATGGGGTAGTAAGATGTATTGCGATGAACCTAGCCATCGTTGATGTTCAGGACTCTCGAGGAACGCTTGGCAACGTCCTGGGGGCTCCGTTACTTACTGGACGATCTGCTCGATGAGATAGGTCGGCGTAGTAGGGTCGGGCCTAAGAGGAGGACTGGTAACGAGGCTTCTTGCCCTGAGCACGTCTTGTTCGTACTGGGCGCTGCCGTCGATACCAAGGCTCGCGGCCAGAACCTCGCCGTAGATGAGAGCCCCGTCGGCTCGCTTCCCGGACACCACGTCCGCAGCGGATTTGCTCGAAACGGCTGTCACGTACAGTGGACTGTTGAGCTGATCCCGACAGTTCACCCGTTAACGACTCTTTCGCAATTCATGGGGCGATCGCTTTACGTGCGTGGAGCCTCCTTGAGGACGAACTCATACGGGAAGTCATGGTGACTTTTTTCGACTCTTCCGCCGAAGCTGACGATTGAGTTGCCGCCGATGCGAGCAGCTCTATATAACCGCAGTAACGCGTAAGATGCACCTTTACGTAATTAAAAATACTTTTCATAAAGAAAAGTCGAAAGGCCTTGCATAAGAATATTTATTTTTCTACTTAGAGGGCGTATTTTTGAAGTCGGTGCCTCGTGATAAACGATCTAACGGATCTTTTTAATGCTTTATCATATAGAAATATCGGAAACAGAAATACCCATACGGGATATAATATTCTCGATATGTGCATCTCAGCTCATAGTAATTTATTTTATTTTTATAAATTTGTATTATTTTTAACTTATAATTTAATTATAAATAAATATTTAATTATTATAAATATTGTGTAAGCTTTGATATTTTAAATGTACTCAAATAATAATTATTTCTTATAGAGTTATATGTCGTAATACGTAAATTAATATTGTATAGCATCGGTATTACTGTTCAATGTAGAAATACGAAGATGCTCCATCGGGTAGCACTTCAATGAGAGATTTTACCATAATTCAGTATAAAATACAAAACTGAATTGAATAATGAAAAGAAAAAGAGAAAAAATAATTAACTTAAACCATGGAGCCTTTACTCGTTAAAATAATTAATTACTAATGTAATGTAGGCTTAGAAAGTTGCGGTTGTATATAAATTTCTTTCATGAGTCTTGTGGCATTGAGCATATTGTGTATAATAAAAGAATCCACAGAGGTTAAGTGTACTGTAATTAGTTGAATTATAATTCAACGTCCCACTTGTTTCCTCCACGCACAATAAAGTACCGCACAATTTAGTAAGGAGGAAAGATAAGGTGATATTTTGTATATATTGACAAGTTTTCATTTTAACAGTCTCTATTTTTCGCGATCTTAAAAACATATAAAGGGAAAATATTACAAGATGATTTTTTTTAACAATCGTTGCATTTTTCACAAGATATTAAAATTGTTAATCGTCTTTATTAAAGATAGATGCTTATGGAATATCCCATTATTTTTTAATTGTTTGATTTTAGAAGGTTAAATTTTAGGGGAAAAAACTTTACAATTACATTACTTTATTGGTTATAAAAATTTTCGGTAACAAATTTGAAAATATTTGTAATTTTATTCTATGATTTTGTTTCTCGATAATATAAGGAACAAAAAATCAATTTATTTTAAAGTATCACCGCAACTTTTCTTCTTAAACATAATATAAAATATGTACAAAAGGTTTCTATACAGATAATTTAGAAATGTATATGACAAATAATTTAAATAAAACAGATACTGATTAAAGCAATTTAACTAAATTAATATATAAAAAACAGTGGATTATAAATATACATTTAAAGCTCGCATTCTATAGAAAGAACTAAACATATACACATACAGAACTACGATATTCAATTTAAACATCAAAATACAGCTAATTTATTAATTATTAAGAATTTTTAACTACTAAAGTAATTACACTAATTTATTAATTATGAAAAATTTCGGAATGTTAAATTATAAATTATTTTAAAGAAGTTATTTGCTAACTTTTAAATCAATACTTTTATGATATTAATTTAAAAATTAGGAAACAAGTATTTAATAGTTTAATTTAATAAATAGGTACATTATTGTATCGGTGATATTAATTTTCTTGTAGTAATACGTTTTATTGAAACGACTATCCAGAAAATAATATAATTTTATTATCATTTCTAATAAGTCTTAACTTAAAAAATTTACTTGGCATATTAACATCAAAGCAGTCGAAACATCCATCCAGCAGTGCATAGAAAATAACAAGAAATTAAACAAATAGTATATTGCAAGAGACACTATATAAAAACAATGAGCATACATAGAAAACTCAAACAAATATAGATAGCAATTTAAAAAATAATCAATATTAAATAATGAAGGTATTGCTATAAACTTCAGTTTTTAATTTTTAAATGTCAATTTAATGTAGTATATTATATATTATACATGAAAAAATACAAAAGTAATACGATGAGTTTTTAATATTGCAGTTCTGTAAAATATTAATATAATACCTATCATAATTCTTCAAGTCCAATTCACAAAGCTACAAAGAAATTTATCGATTTGTCTGCAATATTCTAATAAATTATTACTGTCAACGTGAACAGATATAAGATTAGATTATGAAATACGGTCATTAATAATAAGAACCTTATTTGGGCATTCGTCAATACGGAGATAAGACGTAGAAATAACAATTTCGATCAGAAGTAATAATACTCGCGCGTAACAAAATCTTTGTGAAAATTATTTTCTCTGAATTCAAAAAAAATTATGATTTTGTGACATTTCATTTTAATGATCTTTAAGATAAATGTTTTTTACATATAACAACATGAATTTGAACGATATTTTTATTCATGCCTTAGTCAATAATGAAGACGCGGTCAAATTTTTATATTGAATACGAACGAACGATTCCCTGAGTCAAAAAGTCAACACTTAATTTCATTGGCGAGACGATGAAATATAGTATTGAAAGGTTTTATTTAATTTATAACTTCATTTATAATACTTCAATAACGATAATCCCTATTTTCATTTCTATTTTCTTTATATATATATTGTCAAGATATAAATATTATCTAAATATAAATAAAATGATTGGAATATATAATATAGACCAAGAATGAGAATCATTTGATCGATGGACTCATCGACAATTAAAAATTTTCACATAAAAATAATTATGAAAAATCACAATACTGTGTATATCGTTATTAGCATTAGACCATTAGTACTTGTGCATAATTGTAAAGACAAATTTTGATCGATTACCTTAAAAACTATGAGTAAGGACATAATAAATACCACTAATGATACGAATATTTACAATTCTGGCTAATAATTTTTTCAGGCTTAAACTATAAATTAGACGCTATTCTTAATAAGCGAAGAAAACAGCTGAATTGTAATTATAAGAGCAATTTATAAGAGTAAAAATATGCCTGCATAACAGTGATACGTCTAAAAGAACTTCTTCCAAAACAGATAAAAAATTGTCACTAAGTACGTGAGCTACTCTTAGTTTGGTTTCCTTAATGAGAAAATGCTTACATGTCAGTATATCTTGTTAAAATTCTCGGGTGTCAGGTTGGGGAGTGCCCCGTTAAATCAAGCCACTGGAATCAGTCAAACACGCTACTAATCTACAATCTCGGCATCTCCTCATCTCGTCACCGTACATCAATAGAATTAGGAGAGTAGGCCAGGCCGAAAGTGGCCAGGTAAGCATCTCGTTCACGCCCTCGCATTCAAGATGCCGAGAGACGCGCGAGAGAGGCGAGAAAGCGCAGCAATTACAAAACGCGTTATCTCCTGTGCGCGTAGCCCACGAGAAATCCAGCGCGGGCTCTCCATTAATGGCAAAAACAAAACAAAAAACAAAAAAAAAAAAAAAAAAAACGAAGCGCTGCCACTCGTTCTAACTGCGTTGGAAAAACTAAGCCCCCGTCGAGTGAGACACGTTATAACGGGGAACGGTGACGGCAGAGGAAAGTCGTCGCCGTCGGTGAAGATTTTCTCGCGCTTTCTTGCCATTGTCGCCAATTGACTTCCCGTTTTACGCGCAGATGAAGGAGACGCACAATTTTTTTCCCGATAACACACACGTGTGCCTGCGAAAAGAGTTGCTTGTCTTCTCGTTTCACTTGCGTTGCGAATCATTCTTTCGCACGTTTCGAAAAGCACGCTTTTTCCATTGTTTATATTTGGTGACTATTTATGGGAACGCGCGCGCCTCTTCAATTATTCATGGAGTATTTTTATGCGAGCGTAGATCACGCCATGAAAGGGAAAAAACTAATAACTACAAATTTTCCATTACAAATTTTTTCATTTATAACTCGTTTCTCTATATATTGGTGAATAATACACGGCAATGGGATGAGACAATATCGAAGAATTTTATAATAATTTGAAAGAAAGATTTTTCAATTTTACTTGGGATTTCTTTTTAATACTATAAGTATTTAATATAAATTAGCGATAATTCTGAAATTCTTACATAACAAATGTACAAAGGCATGAAAAAAAAAGAATTTAAATTAGTCAGAATAATTATATGCCAACATTTAGTTATAAATAATTTCCCTGTCAAGATTTTTTATTACATTTTTATCTATCATTTGAACTTTATCAAAAATATCAAATATTTATATTAAAATATCTTATCAAATATTAAAATGGAATATTTAGTCACTTTATTTGAATTAAATTTTAATACTCTAATTTAAAACTTCGTTTTTACTAATATGAATAAAATGATATATCACTTTTTCCGAAGCTTTATTGATTTTCCTCTCCCTCCCGCTACACCCTCTCTATCTCCATATACTTATTTATCTATAAATTATACAAGTCAAATCAATTATATATCTATAAATTGAAACTGAAGATTAAACTAGTATGTGTCACATTTCATTTATATTATAATTGTAATCATATAAATGATAACTAATAAAATCAAATAAAATATAGGTAAAATATATATTTAACAAAAATATGTATCTTAGCGCCTTACAAAATAATATACACTTGATATTTTAATAATTAGAAGACAATCGATAAAATAAAAATAATTAATATGCGTTCAGATTTAATTGATTTATATAGTTTTTATTTGATTAAAAAAAAAAAAGATTAGTTTAAAAAGCTATTGTTGGTATGATCCTTTACATATCAATATTTTAATACATTGTCATTTGATATTGACTGTCAATATACTGTGGAATTTCATAATTAATGAAGACAAATTAACTGAATATTAATCTTACAGGGTACATAAATTTTAATTCTAATTAATATTATAAAAAGTGTTTAGCCGATAATAAACTAATTTATTGAATTATGAAAATATTTTACATTACATTTTATTATAATTATATTATTATTCTTTCTACATAATTTTTTCTATATAATTTTCAATTCGCGGATTATAATATCAAATTTTTATAAATTGTTTTATCATCACGTAACAAGTAAAATTATGATAATTTAAAGCTGAATTTATTATTTTATGGTACAATTAAATCAAATAAAAAATAAATGAAATCTTTAATAATATTCCATTTATTTAGAGAAATGAAGTATAATTCATATTATATGTTATCGAAAAATTATCTTACCGGCGCATTCTCATACTTAATGAAATATTATTATAAAAATCTATTTGATAAGTTGCGCGACTATTTGAAAGCTAAATACTCTTTAACTTCAGTCGCACATACGGTACATACTGATTATGACTATTGAATAATGATAATGGACACACTACAGACAATTATATGGAATTATGCAAATGTCACGCAAGGAAAGGGTGAACTTACAACTTTATACGACATGTTAGAATAAGTCTACAATTCGTGAATCATCATCGACGATGAAAAAGACTAAAATGTGAGGCGATATGCGCTTGCGACCCCTAGCGTTCTGAAAAAGTAATAATAGCGCTGACCAAGTGCAGACTCACGTGACGAGTTTCCTCATGAGGGAGATCGGCGTGTCCGGATCTGGCCTAAGAGGAGGACTGAGGATGTGCCCGGCCGCATGTCTCCAACAGGTATGGCTGTAGTTGGTACCGTCGGTGCCGAGGGCCGCGGCAAGGGTCTCGCCCCAGACGCAACTGCCCCGCCTCCTTGCCTTCTCGAGCTCGTCCGCCGCGCTGCGGCTCATTATGTGCACCACGTACAGCGGACACAACACCTAAGTTTCATGTACGTCAAAGAGTCCATGTAACCTATACGTAATCTGGCGCGGACGGGGCCGGGGGAAGAGACGTCGTTGATGTCTATCCGCGTGTTTGTGTCGTGCCCCCCCCCCTCCTCACGAATTCGGGACCTAAATTCCTTGGAGCGGTTATTAACAAGTTTCACAAGTCGATTGGCGACTATTTGTCCCTTTGCTTAGTTACTTTAAGCGTGACACGCACAATAAATCAGTAACGTGTCATTTAAATTTTCTATTGTATATCCAATTTTCCAAATAAAGTGTAAATAATTACATATTCGTAACGTTAAAAAATGGTTCTAAATTATAAATTTTAAAAAACTTTTTTTATTGTATTTAATAGGTTGATGAATAAGATTCTCGATATTTCCAGGCTAAATGTTCAGAGCAAATATTTGCCAATGCTTACAAGATGACATAACATAAAAAATGGTGTCCTGTTTTACAAAGATGTTGTTTTATACTTATCAATATTATATATTTAAGAAATAAAACTAAACCTATTTTGTTATAGTGGATTTAACTCATTGATTTATAATAATTTTATACAAAGCACACTTTCGCTCCAAGAAATTTATAACGATTAATTTTTATAGAGTGTCGATGTTTGTCATACTCGTGTGTACAAGCATTTGAAAAGCTTTAATTTCATATTTTTTATTCAATATTTTTATAACGAATAATATATGGCATAAAATTCGCATAAATAACTGCATTTAATAAATTTGGTTCAATTAATTTTTTCTCATAATATATTTTTCATACGGTTGTTGAATAAAAGTTATTCTATATTAGAATAATTTCAATATACAAAATTAATTAGAAAATTAATTATTTACAGATTATTCATATATTTGAATATTTTTTCCATCATTAATAATACTTCAAATTTTTAAATCCGACTTAAGTAAAATATCATTTATACTTAAATATAAGATCTATGTAAAAAAGATATACGTTTTAAGTTAATGATTAATATAATGTACTAAATTCTTTAATTTGAAAGATTAATGGAAAAACATTGATAAAGCATAAGACATGGTTAAACAAGTTTCATTTTTAATCGAATTTTAATTTTTTACAAAACATATCCGGATTAACGGAAAATTACTAGAAACTTTTCAAACGCTTATATATTATGATACATATGTTCCTTTTTATCCAACGCATAACTATAGCGAATTTCTTCAGTGCCGCTTTCCTTTTCATTATATTTTTCTTATTTACCTCCTTTTACTTTTGATGGCCTGCACTACCCTTATCATTTTTAAAATATTTAAATGTGACAATGGGAATTAGTATATTCAAAGGCTTCGATTTTCCATTTATTAAACATTGTTTATCAAAAGAAAAAATTAGACAATGTGTTAACTTAATTCCGACAATTATGCAGATAGATGCAATACAATATTATACAATTATTCGTACATGCATTTCTATATATATATATAAAAGAAATTATATGTCATACAAAACAATATGCACACATTTAAACATTCATGCAAAAATATAAGGAGATATAACAATATAGATATATATATATATATATCGCAAAAATTCATTAGAATTAATTTTAATATACGAACACATTATTACAAACAGAATAAATTATTTAATGAATATTATTATGTCAATTTAATACTCATATATAATATACATTTTTAACTATGGGTTTATTTTATGCAAAAAATAAAAAGGAAAAGCTTATATAAAAAATGAAACGCATACAGAAAAGATAAATATACATTAAAATATTCGAAATGGAACTATCCACGTGCTTATATTAAATGAAATTGCTTAAACGATGCTTGAAAAAAAAAAAATGATAGACTAGCAACAAAAGTTATAACAATGAATTTTTATTCAATAGAATTTATCAAAATTTCATTAAACATTACTTCAAAGTAAAAATTGAATGATTAAGTATTTCTTTCTGTCGGTGGCTTAATTACTTAGAGTTATTATATTTAATATAGATTTATCAATTTATTTTTCTATACATAATTTCAAGTCGAAGTATTGATTGGATTTGAAATTTCAAAATATAAATTAAAACTCTAATAATGGCATTTTTTATTTCACATAAATTGAAAAAGCATGTTTGTTTGAAAATGTTAAATTTGAATAGCAGGGCACTTGTCAAATACCTTAAAACATTCTTTTTGAAAAGTCTTTAAAATCATTTTTCAATAAAATTATAAAAGACTACCTTTTTGAATATTTTGTGCTATATTATGCCCTTCATTGTGCTTTAAATTTATGATATTAAATAAAATAGTATCTATTTATAAGTATTTTATAAAATCTTCTACATTTATAATCATTTATTATTTGTCATGTGTCTGATATGCTCTTCGATTTATTTGAGCATTGAGTAAGTAATACAGGCAGGATATGCAATGCGTACTTGCTTGTTTACTCACTCAGAAATGATTTTATACATATTTTTATAAATCGTTATCCGAAGAACAAATAATATTTTTATGCAAAATAAAACTAGTGTGTAATCTAAAAAGTTATACGATAAAATAAAAAAGCTCATAAAAATACATTGCTTTTCTCTGTATTAGATTAGAATAGTTCCACTTCTATAGAACGATATACAACGTGTGTTATGCTCTATAAAGTAAACTTACCTGATTTGCAATAACACAAGCACGGTTAACTGCTTCCGCCTCAACCTCTTCGGGGCGTGACATCTCATGACCTTCGGGCCCTGTTACACCTGCGGCTAGCAACTTTTTTGTATTCTGCAATTATAACAAGTAGTCGAATAATGTCAATTAGTTTTTTTTTATTATTAAAGCATTAACCCTTTATTATCAAAGCATCAATTATCTTGCATCATCCATGTGTTTATAATTGAAAGTCGATAAAAATTTTGGAAATGCGTAATATGATTTTATTATGAGGTGCAATAATAGGCTTGATTTAGTCAAGATTAAAATTCATGGGCTCAATCAGTAATGTAATAAGCGTGGCGAGATGCTTGGAAAATTTTAATATCATGTCTGTACGTAAGATTAATTATTTATACTCGAATGCTCAAAGAGTTTGGTCATAGATTTTGCAAGAAAATTAATTTAATTACCAGGAGTTATTTTTACATAAAATATCTAATCCACTTTTGTATCATAGTATTGTACTTAATAATAGTAATGTATTTAACAGTACTAATGCTTACATAAACAAATTTTTTCCAATACAAATTTAATCACATAATTCTTTTACATATATTCAATATGTATTCAAAGAAAGAATAAGAATTTCTTTTCACTGTTTAAAATTTTAAAGCAAAAACTTTAATGTATTCGAATATAATGCATTATAATTAATATTTTTAACATACTTAGTAAGTGATGTATTCACTTATTATATAACTTTCAAATATACAATTTAATCATATAACATTCAAATAATTTTATGTTCTAATTTTATACAACGTATTTTTATATATAACGAATATTTTAAATCATATATTAAGATCATTTTATAATTCATTTTATATAAACAATTTTATAGTCTTTTGTATAAATAAACTGCATTCTATAGAGCTTTACTTTGATATTTTTTATAACTATATGGTTATAATTTAGTTTTTTTTGTAATTTAGTTCTTTTATTATATTAATTTAGCATAATCTACCATGCTAAGTATAGCAATTATTAACATATCATTATCATAAAATATAATTTAAATACTTTAATTGTTTAAAAGTCCGCCTGTGTAAATGTATATTTAAAAAATATTATAACAGATAAAATTATACTTTTAATATCGAAGTATTTTCATAAATAAAGTAAATGTTAAAATGATAATTTATAAAAAAAGAATTTGTTTTTCAGGGAAAAAAGTTTAAATTTGAACTGCAAACAATCAAGAATATTATACAAATTTATTTATTAACTTGTACGGAACAAGAATTTTATTATTAATTTTATGTCTTTGAAACTAAACATATTATTAGCCACATACAGAATAAATGTAAATATTATTTTGTTCATGGATTCTTATTATTATATAAATCATCATTATCATATAAAATTAAGTATATACATACACGTTATATTAATAATTATAAGATATTTACTTGCTTCAACTATTTGGAAATTATCCAAATGTCATGTGTGAGTATATATTAAATCAAAGACTGGAAAAAATTCAGATAAATATCCGATAATTTATATAATAATCAATGATACTTAATCGGATCATCGAAATTTTCCGAATGAAATTAAATTAAACTATAAGCAGATAACATTTTGCAAATCGTTTGATTTACTTTTACATTATAATGTAAATATTACTTATAATCAACTGATAAAATGACGGTTTTATAACAGAAAGTGTTATCATTTGTAGTATTTAATTTGTTTAAGAATTTTTTAATTTACCAGATAACTATGTAACTACCATATAACTATGAATACGTAATAATTTGAATTAAATAATAATAATTTGTATTTCAATATCAAAATATTCATACTTTCTTTAATGATTCTAATTAATTTTTTTAAATAATAAATTTATTCAAATTCTGTGTACTTTGTTTTATCAGCACTCATAAGAAGCAACCTCGATCATAATCGTGAAAATTTTAATTACATAACAATGAATAGAACGGTTGAAAGGCTAAACAGGTACAATGACAATCAATTATACATATATATATATATATATATATATATTCTATTGCAACATTATCTCCGCTATGGTTTCCTCTATGCAAATGAGAAATTAATTTCGCTTTATTAAGAGAATTAATCGTTTGATTAAGAGCAACTGCCGTATGTGCATATAGTCATAGCCCCCCTCACCATCATTCAATATTAGAAATTCAAATGTTATGTCCATTCGCAGAGAAAAGAAATCATATAATAAAGCTAAATACCTCGTATATTATATCGCCATTTTCCGCATGAATCATAGCTACGGCGCCCAAGCTCTTGCAGACTTTAAAGGCCTCGATTAATTCCGGATCCCTTAGCATAAAGAGATCACGATACGCCATAAAGAACTTGAAGCTGTTTATACCGTGCTGCTGTACGAGCGTTGCCATTTCCTCTCTCGTCTGAAAATATGTATAATAGCTATTATAATATGTTAATTAAGTATTAATTGGATTTCTCACAACAGAAACAAGAAAACAACTTAAAAAGACAGTGTTTACAGAATAACTTCTTGTCCAACTAAATACAGAGTACCAAACTTTTCAATATAGCTATAATTTCAAAGTTACTTCATATAATGACTGATGCATAATGATTCTTACTAAAGTTACAAATAAATATTTATCGATAGATTATATAATTAACTAATTTTCTTAAAAATTCACAATGACCTTACTGTATTGCTGTGTGAAAAAAACTATAGCCGTATACATTATATATTATGGACATATTATTTTACTCAACTTTTATAAAGCAGTTAAAATTAATTTGTACATAATTTATAATGACTTTCTAGTAACTTTTTAAAAATTAAGCTAAAAATAATCGAATGACTGATAGATGTTTGCTTTTTTCAAACGAAAGTTTTAGCAATCAAATGCACGTTTCTTACTTGACCTAATGGCATTATTTATATTCACTATAAGCGAATTTCAGTAAAAACAAAGTTATACTAATAATGAATCAAAATATTAGAGTATAGATATTATGTAAAATTACATCTGATAATATTAATTTCATCGTGTTAAAACTAAATTGTACTATTGTAAGATATTTTTCAAATTAAGAAGAAAGGTAGTTACCGTTTTCATATGGTTTCTAAATTATTAAGGTTAATCGTACTATTGATTATATAGAGTGAAAAGTTCTGAAAGTCTTATAAAAATAGAACTAAAGTTTACGTTATATTCTATTAAAACGTTATAATGGTTAAAAAATTATTGTTGAAATTCCAATCTTTCTTTCTTCGACATTTAAAGGTCATAAATTTGAAAAAAAAAATTTATTGATTCTATCTGTTCTATAAATAATAATAATAATGATGATAATAATAACGATGATGATGATGATGATGATGATGATGATTATGATAATAATAATAACAATAATAATAATAATAATAATAATAATAATACTAATAATAATAATAATAATACTAATAATAATAATAATAATACTAATAATAATAATAATAATACTAATAATAATAATAATAATACTAATAATAATAATAATAATACTAATAATAATAATAATAATTGTTCGAACGATAATAATGAGAAATGTTGAATCATAGAAAAAATCCAACTATATTAATCAACAATATTAATAGGCTACATTTAACGAAACATTAATTTTATAATGAATACAAGAAAAATGTTACTAAAAATAGTACTTTTCAGATATTAACAATCTAATCATTAAGTATACACCAATCATCATTCACCAATTCATCGACATTTTATAATAAAATATAGCGTACGATGAAATATTGATTGCCTTTATAAAAACAAAGATTAAAACCTGATTTTCTAATAGACATTTCACTAGTGAACGACTTACATTGCAAAACATGTCAAAGTTGTATCAAAATGCTCGATTATCCGTTCGAAGAAAGCACTTGAAAGTGTACGCTAGAAGGCAAAAACTCATGGAGAGAAAGGGAAAGAACGAGGAGATTTGTACGTTCTCGTCATGACGACAGTCCAACGTGAACTCGTTAATGTCGCGGGGTCATCGCTCGTAATGTCCGACACGGTTCGCACGGCTCTATCATCTCGTGCATTACGTGCATTTATACGATTCGTCGGCGAAAGTCAATAAGGAAGTTGCACATAACGTAATGGGTCAGTATCGTTGAATCCGACATTGAAGGAAGCGGATGTATTAATGTAACAAAATAAATAAATAAATAAATAAAAGAGATGCGCTCTTAGCTTATAGAAATTTGATGGGATTTACTCCAATTAGGAGGAGTCGGGAATTTCTTCTTTCTGTTGCTTGCACGGAACTCATGATTGTTTAACTTGGACGGGGTGTCGTGAGAGCCAGCGGTTGTCCTTGAACCACGTCTGACTTTGCTTGCAGACCGGAGGAAGATTTTATCGTGGATAGCTGAGCTTCGGTCTCTCTCAAGCATGCAACTCTTCAGTTCGTTTTAACTTGGCAAAAATAGGAGCCTTACTCGAAACGAAGATCTACTCGAGTTTTGATGTACATGTGGAAGACGTTATGCGTCAGAGAATAGTCCAACTGTCTATTAAATATAACAAAATTTTTAACTTCGATTTTAATAAAATATTTATTAACTTCTCATATTCCTCATAGACTTTATCACACGGAGTAAAGATGAGATAATGAAAAGAAATAACAACTTTTCGGCTGCGTATAATCGAGTACACACGTATATCTACTATTTTCGAAAATTGACTTTTGAAAATTTAATAAATCGTAAAAAATAAAATAAAATAAAACATATTTAAATTATCATGAAATTCAATTAAGAGCAGGTCAAATGTACAATAAAATTTTCTATCTGTGCATATAAAAATGATATGTTGTTTAAAATGTAAATATTGAAAATTTTTCAATGTAATATTTTAATATTATATATCCAATAGACATTTCTTATCCATGTGAGTTCTCAAAAACATATCATATAAGCGAAAGAAATATGTTTAAATAAACTTTTGGTAATCTACATCGATGCTTGATAATTAATATCAAAAAATTTTATCAATAAATTCTCAAACCATGTTTTTAATTCATTATTAAATATATGCAGTTTTGGAAATTTAATTGTCGAACAATAAGGCATTAAAAAAACAACAGTACCTTTATTCAGCTCGTATATAATAATAATAACATATTTCGTGCGTTCAAATGAAATTATAAATTCCTTTGCAAACGGATATATTAAATATAAAAAAAAAAAAGAAAAAAAAAAATATTTGACTAAATTTTTAACAAAATAATATTCAACTAATATTCCACTTTATTCATTTATTACAATAAAATTTAATAAATAAAACAGTATGTAGAATTAAATATACGTGTATATTTAAATAAAATATGTTAAATAAAAAAAAAAACTTCAAGTATAATATAAGTAAAGAAATATTAGATGTTATTATAAAAGAATTTACAGTTATTCAAGCAATTTACATTTTTATCTAGTTACTATCTAGTTCAAATATTTTCTTGCCAATATAATATTAAATTATAATTACAATCATAAAATTATAATATTAAAAATTTTATACGGGTTTTTATAGCGAAATACTACGATATTCAATATTAATTTTATAAAAATCCATAGCCTAGCGCTTATTTTACATAAGCAATTGATAGCACATATTTTTAATTATTATTTTACTGTACGATACACAACTACTAGAAGGAAAAAATGCAAAAAATTGTTAGGAATATTATTTACTTTTTTAAAATCGTAGCTTTTCTAGATCGATAGATATAAAACTTTTTGGAGAACTTAAAGCAACTGATTCTCTATGAAAATATTATTTCTAACGGATGAATCATAATTACAAAAACATTAGGCTTGCTTAATGAAAGTGCTTAAAAAATATTACCACATACAACATTTTAAAAAAAATTCAATGTTGGAATTTTTAAATAAAAAATTTCTCGAAGATTTTATCATAAAATGACACTAGTTATTTTGTAAATGATGAATTTTCAATAAAATTGCATTTGCTGTCTGCACAAGAGATACAATTATCTAAGAATGAGCCAAGCTGTCGGAAGCAGGAACAGATGAAATCTCGAATAGATGAACAAACTAGCATAGAATAGAAAAACACGATAATATTACAATATATTTCATAATCATCGATTTTATTAATGTATCATTGGTAAATGAAAGGCTGAGTGTAAGAACTCTCAGTTATGTGTTTACCGCGTGATAAATCTACTGAAAGCTCCGTAGTAGCCGATCGTTTATAAATAATAGAAAAGAAAAAAAATCGTTGCCTCGCTAAATGAGAATATCGAATGATGAGCGCGTACGAGCTTACGTTTTAGCCTAAAGAAAGGCAAATTTACCCTGTTATTCCAGCTGGTGACACCGACGTGAAGAGTATAGTCACAGCAAACCTTCTCATCGGCGGTGATCCTGTACCTCTCGTACGCCTCAAGTAGACTCTCCTCGCCCTTAGGTATGACGAAGTCGATGATCGTAGTGGTGCCACCGGCAACCGCAGCCTTCGTCCCTTGATAAAAATCGTCGACACTCGTTGCGCCCATGAGTTCGAGCTCGAAGTGCGTATGCGGATCAATGCCACCCGGCATCACGAACTTGCCCCTAGCGTCGATCGTCCGAGTGCCGCCCGGTATGATAAGATTCCGGCCAAGTTGTCTGTAAATTTGTTCCTTCTTATTTATCGTGGGCTTTTTTATGTATTCATTTGTTTTTTAACGAGTCTATTTGGATTGTTACACGGCCTAGGAATATTACATACCCATTAACAATATTAATTGCCGCTATCTGTTCATATTCACCAAAAAAGCAGTTCAATTTAAAGAAGAATGAAAAAACTTATTGCAACCCCAAACATAATGCATTTTGTTTGGGTAGTATTTCCTTTGATATAGGAAAATTGCTGAATGTTATAGCAACAATTTGATAGGCATACTGCTTACAAACTATGAATAGAACAAGATAGCTTTAGAAACTTTCAATTGGGAGCAACCAAAAATACATTTCTCGATACCTTAACGAAATACAACTTCAACTGTTTTAACATTTTCGAGTATTTTGAAATTTGTATTACTACATAATTCTATAAAAATGGATTAAACAGAAATAATATTAGATTTGTGTTACACCTGAAATAAGAAAAATTTTGAATATTTGTCAAATTGTCAATGATTATTATGATTTATTTGCAACTTTTACAATTAATGCGTAAGTAAAATATAACGACATTATATAAAATATAATATAAAAATATTGGTAAAACCTGAATTAATAAATAATGCAATTTTTTAACTTTGAGAAATTGAAATTATTGCATTCATATTATAATAGTTTACGCTTAGTGAATTCAATTTAAGTTTAGTAGTATTCAATTTATCTTAAGAATGCTTACGACGCTTCCCACGAAATATTTCATGCTCAATAAAACTTCTTATAAAAAACCGACTTTTATATTTTTATCCAAATAATAATGTATTTTTGAAATTGTGAAGATTCTATGTCGAAAAATTGCGTACAAATTTGATTAATGTAAATAATTTGGAAAGTTAATTTTATAAAAGAAATGAACTAAAAGCATAATTTTAATGAACTCGGATAGCGAGTAATAATACTTTATAGAAATATGTGATACCATCCATACAGTGAGTAGGTTAATAATTATTTATTGGTGAATAAATAAATAAAAACCTTTTTTTATAATAAAAAGCTTAAATTTTTATCTTTAAAAAAAAACGTTATATGCAAGTACTAAGCAAGAATAATTTTCTCATCTATAAGCATTTTACACTAAAATATTTTAAGCATAAGAATTATTTAAAATATATTATTTCAATATAACTTACTTGATAATGCCATCTTCAATGTAGACATCGGCATCAAAAATGTTATCTTCGTTGACAACTTTGCCATTTTTTATTAATAAGCGATTTTGTGCACTCTACAACAGAAACATTTAAGTGAATTAGTACTATTTGAATAAATGTAGTAAAATCACTTTTATAATACCAACGAGAATTATAATAATAATAATATTAATAATAATATTAATAATAATAATTATTTTTTTATTTATATTATTATTGCTTTTTTTCCATTATTATTATTATTATTATTATTATTATTATTATTATTATATTTTTTTATATAATTAATATTATATAATAATAATTATATTATTATTGAACTAAAATATCTTTATACAAAAGAAAGTTAATGTTAATAAAGTATCGTACTTCGTGAAAGCGATTAATTTCATAATTTCATTCTTGCTGTTGTGTTATTAACAAGTTTATTTCAAATGCTATTTGCAAGCAAATTTTAAAATAACCATTGTACTAACTTATCTCTATTAATGAGTTCCAATCATTGGCTAACGTATGCAAATGTTTTCAAGTTTATGTTGTTATATAGCTTCTGAAAAAGAAATCCAAATTCTCCAGCTGTCACACACTTCATAAATATATTCTTGAATTCAAATTCACTACGTCAAGCTTTTATGCGTCAATAAGTCTCGACTTATTAACGATACGAAGAATTGTTGGAAACAATTAAAATTTGTTCTTAGCATTCGATAAAAAAGGTAATAAACTCTTGACGCCCAAAATACTTTTAATAGATAATTTCGAATTTTCGCCTTGGTAATTCCATTCCATACTGTCTCAAAACGCTCCCCTAAAAAACATCACAAATAAATTTTGCGATCAACGGCGATTGCTTGGTCTTTCTTCGTTCTCTTCGGCACCCTGCTTCACATTATGCGCACAAGTGTCCATATTGGGACCGGCCTTGCGCAGTATTCTTTCTTTCATTCGTTTGCCACCCTTATCATCAGCACGCACATCCGCCACGTGCCCTTTGGTTGGAAAGCTGCGTACGCAGTTGAGTTTTATAGATTTTCCACAGGCGGCGAGACAATGTCTCAATCCTTGATTCATCGTTACGAATTTCTCCATTCTTTTACCTCTCAACGTATACAAAAGAGATGCAAATAAGAGGTTCAAACACTAATCAACGGTACTCAAACGCTATGTATACATTGCAATTTGTGAGGGTACGTTGGAATATTATTTAGGGTCTTTACATATTTCACTACAATGTCATTTTCATTTACTAAAACGTGTAGATTTTACTTTTTGTGGTACAAAGACAAATGTTGTTTATGTACGACTTTAAATAGTGATTATAGAATTTTATATTTGTAAGCATTTAAATTATATTTGCATTAGTTGCTAACTAATAAGTGTTGTACGTTGATGAAGTATCAATTGATCGATGCATGTACAAGGTCATTGGAAATTGAATGAAAGCAAATATAATATAATATAGTATAATTTTCAAATTACATTTTTCTGTATTGTTTTAAGACCATGTGAACGTTTTTCATACATTTGGCGAATTTTATAAATTTATTACATTACTTTTAAATTAAGTTGAATAGACATTATAATGAATCCTGAAAAAGATTGACTCGATATATTTTATATAATTATGGAATCCAATTACCATATTATAAGCTTCATTGCAAAAAGCCATTTTTAAAGCTAACTTTTATTGCTTATTTTGAACTATTTTAAACAATATCACAGAAATGTATAAACGTTTCAGATCAATAATACATAACTTAGTTTATTAATTATATATTCAACTTTTATGTTTCAATTATACATAACATCATTTTTTATTTCAAATAAGTTTCTCAATTTCTTTTTAATAAAAACTAACAATTGATTATAATTAATATATTCGGGTGTTTAATGTAAAAAATGATAGTAGGGCATTTATATTCTTTCTTATATTGTACAAGATCAATATGTAGTACCTCAAATATGATATAATGCTTATATTTATATATTTACTTGACTTCTAATAGGTTCTATTGTATAAATCTTTGCAATAAAGAAGTATGTTGTAAGAATGATTCATTGAAGGGTGCGTCCATCATTATTTTTCACTTCCTATCGTCTACTTAATCAAGATAATTATTGGTATGCTGTTGAAATAAATAGCTTATTCAAGACGAAAATAATATGTATATATGTAAACTAAAATTTATTTATATTTTATATACTAGAGAGAAAATATGTATTTTCTGTAATATTGTAAAAATGTACTTTATTTTAAATAAACTTGCATATGTATATCTACATGCGAGAGCCCACGCACGTACATATTAATTTAAATATTAAACACGATCATGACAACCTTGAATGATTTAATTCAACTTTATAAAATAATAGGTCACAGATACTAAATCGACAATATATTTATTCAAGTTATTAGTAACAATATCTTTTAAATATATTTTTTAAATGTATTCTATATTGTAAAACGAATATATGATTAGTCAATTTTATCTTGTATAATTATATTTAATATGTTATTTAAAATATCAATTCAATGTATTTTACTGTCAGTTGTACCTTATAAGCGATTAATATAAAAAAAATATAGTTTTTAATTTATTCTTACTACCTATAATAAATTCCATATTACAAAATAACAAATTCATATGTTGCATATAATAATAATGATAATAATACATTATTCTTCGAATAATTTAAAAATTAAACTATTAAAATTTTGACTCAAGAAAATATTGTACTCTTGAATTATGTAAAAATATTACGAAATTACTATTATTACTATTAATTGAATTGACAATTTTCTTAACAACATGAAAATATAATATTTATTGTCTTGAAGAATATATTTTTGTAATATTAACATTTATCAACTATTGAAATTCACTAATTTCCATCAAAGACTTATGTAAAGTAAATATGTAATAATAAGTGTTATTCTGAATTAGGGTATTGATTTCATATTTCAAATAAAATGAAAAAAAAAATTCGAATGTGTTAAAAAAGAAATTTAGTTAAATATTTTTCTCATTTTAATTTAAATTAATATTATTTAAATCAAATTTTCAAATAGAAAAACATTGTTCTCAAACATTTAAACTTAAAAAGAAGTACATTCATTTCTTTTCGAATAAATTGATGGGTTTTAAACCTAAATTGGTTATGTCCGCATTATAATAATTTAAAACGCAGTTCCTGAGGATTATCCATTCTAATTGAAAAATCGAGAACGATAACTGGTACCTATGAAGAAGATCTACATTTCAGTATTCTAAAAATAATACACTATACGTTAATTATTTTGTTTACCTAAAATTATATTACATTATAATTCTATTAAAGCTAAAATTATAACTAAAATTATATTAAATTATAATTACATAATAAATATATATATATATATATAATATAATATGAATGATTACTTTTTTACATTAAATGCGAAATGACTATTAAACAGAATTTTTGTCGTATACAACAATTAAAAAAATGACAATTTTTTAATTCATTTTATGTATATTTACTCACTATTTTTGTCACGAACGCTTATTAATTATAGGATGATTTTTCTTAAATTATGAAAAATATTAAAATGTAGTCAAAATAAATTTAAACGGTAAAACATTAAAGTAATTAACACTTTCAATGTACTTAGATATTACCAAAATCAATTTTTGATCTTTTCTATTACAGTAATTAAGACAAATATTATCTTCAATTTTACATAATAAAATCTAGTATTTAATATCACAAATTGTAGGTAAATTTACATTAACAAGTTTATTCATCGACTTACTTTAATATTACTTATAATATATAATATACTTAATACTATCATAAAAAATAATGAAACTGTAACTTAAGATTTGCCGCTGCCACAATTGCAACTAGAACTGTAAAATCGTCATTTGCCGTTATATGATTAACAATTGTAACGTTGCAAGTCACAAGCCGCAATGTACATAAACTAGGGTATTACAATTGTAATAAGGCCAATTATGCATGAATTCTTCTAGACATCAATTTCAAAAGCAATATGATTATTGGGAAAAGAAATAGACTAATTATTTATAATTCTCTCGTCAATTTTGATATATTATGACATGTGATTCTGTCTGCATGTGCTGGATACATAATATTACTCAACTTCAATTAATGGGAAGAGGATACACTTACATATGCCTACGCATGATAAGTATGGATGCATGGAATCGCTTATGCCATCTAGTGCTTACGTATTTGCATGCATGTACTTGCTCGTACACTAAAAGTTGTATTACATATAATATATAATATTTTTAACATCTGAGGTATGTTAAATTATACATGTCTTCCAATATAATTGTAACTACATTAAATAATACATAAATTAAACAGCTAACTATTTATAATTAAGGGTAAATTTTCAGATTATATGAATAAATCATTTAATATTCTAACAGATATTTTTTACTATTTTTTTTATACTTTTAAAGAAATCATATTGGCTATATATTTTTAATTATTTGTAAAAAAATTTTCTTATACTTAGAAATAGAATTTTTTAAATATAAAATGTACTCTATATACTTGTTGTCTATACTATTGTTTATATTCTTTTATATTTCCTTTTATATTATTTCATAATTTATATTTATGTTTGAAAATAAATGAAGTTGATAAATTTGAAGCTCAAAGTTTGTTAACAATACTTGTTTTATATAGTTCTAATAATTTATTCAAATTACTTCTTACGTATTTTGTATGTGATTAATGCATATCATATTATAAAACTAATTTTATTAAGATACGAAATTTTATATTTTTTTAAATTTTCATTTACAAACAATAAAATCTTATTAAATAAAATTAATCATTCTTCTGAATTTAATTAATTTCATTTATAACAATAAGGTTAATTATAAAAAGAATAAATTTCTGCTTACCATATTTCTGTTTCTACGTTTAAATAATATCTTTATAAATTATTTATAAGCATTCTATAATATAACTGCTTATTAACTAATACTATGATATAATAATATGCATAAGCCGTCCTAACATCTTAAAATAAAAATATATTTCTTCTGGTGACTCA